GAATCCAGAAAATCAAGAGATCTTATATTATTACGTATTTTTTTAAAAAAGCTCAGATAGTACAAAGGTCTTTGATATTGTGCTTTGAATACCTTTAATACAGATGTACTATAGAGATTACAATTGTTATAATTGCTAGAAACTTAAGAATACTGTCAAGTTGGTATTTCATTTGACTTTGCACAGAGGGGCAAATATTTATAATTTTAGTTTATTATAATAATCAGAACCTCTTTTGTTTCTCGTTAAGACTAATTTTGGATAAGCAAATGTATAGTAACTTTGTTATTAGCTTTTATTTCATTGAGTTTGGAGGATCTTCTTGGTTTGTGTTAGCTGAGAATTGTCATCTTTAGGTAATAATGAGCTCTGTAAAACTCATCACACAATACTGAATCTACCTTTTCATGTTTCCCTTCTACTTTTAGTGTGGTCTACTCTAGAGGAGTTCTAAAGTAGGGCTTTCCTAGCAAAGGAGGGGAGGAAATCCACTAGTTGCTCTGAAATCTACAACAGTGGTTTCATTGTCACAAAGGCATTTCACTGGCATTTGATGACAAGCAGTGGATTCTATTGACTTTGCTGAGTTCATCAGAGGCACAATGTTCAGTGATATAGTGGGCAGTAGAATGCAGTACTAAGGACATCTTGTGACTATACCCTTGAAAGGAATTGGCAACCAAATTTTGAAGTGGGGCCCAAATGGACTGATTTTATTCTTTTTTTTTCTTGGCAGAAAGTCACAGAATAATAATGGTTGTGATAAAATTTCATTATGTGGTTATTTTTAAATTTGATTTTTGAGACTTATCTTTCTAAGATGAGGTTATGTTATTTTTTTCCTAAACATTACAGTAATGTAGCTTTTATACATAGGAGAAACAATTATATTCTGGCTGGTGTCCAGATAGCTATTAAGTTTGCCAGTTGACCCGACCTGGAGTTAAAAATGTTTGATTTCTTTAATTCAGGATGCTGCTGTAGTAGTGTTGATTTATTGTTTCAAATGGTTAAGTGGTTGTTTCTGTAAAGTAGCTAAACGTCTTGACATTTCTTAGAGACATAGAAATGGCTATAATTTTATTTATTTATTTATTTTTAACTTTGGGATGGAGTGATAGCAAAGCAGGTAGGGTGTTTGCCTTGCACGCGGCCAACCTGGCCGACTCGAGTTCGATTCCTCTGCCCCTCTTGGAGAGCTCCGCCAGCTACCGAGTATCTAGCCGGCACGGCAAAGCCTAGCAAGCTACCAGTGACATATTCAATATGCCAAACACAGTAACAAGTGTTACAATGGAGACATTATTGGTGTCTGCTCGAGCAAATCGATGAACAATGGGAATACAGTGACAATGATTTTTAAGTTTGTTTTACCACATCCGGTGTGATCAGTGTTTATTTCATCTGGCTCTGTGCTCAGGAATCACTCCCAGTGGTGCTGGGGGACCACACAGGGTGCCAGGGATCAAATCCAGGTCAGCCTTGTGCAAGGCAAGCAAGCACTCTGCCTGCTTGTATTCCCTCTTGGGACCCTCAATTTTTTTCTAGCGGTGGTGACCCTTTCTGATAAAATTTTTTAGCTCATAATGTCTCTTTGATTTTTCCCTCAGTAGGTTCTGAGCTTTAGATTTACAGACCCAAGACTTTTTTATGGGTTTTTTTTTTTTGGTGCCACACCAAGTGGTGCTCACGGCTAACTTTTGACTCTACACTCAGGGATGAGTCCTGGGAACCATATGGGGGTCAGGGGTAGCACTGTGGTCAGCCATGTGCAAGCTAAGTTCCTTATTTGCTATAGTATCACTTACAGGCCCTACAGGCCCAAGACTTAAATAAAAATACATTTTTGTCATCTCAAGAGTTTTATTTATATGGAAAATAAAAGGGCTGGAGCGATAGTACAGCAGGTAGGGTGTTTGCCTTGCACGCTGCCAACCTGGGTTCGATTCCTCCACCCCTCTTGAAGAGCCTGGCAAGCTACCAAGACTATCTCATCCACACGGCAAAACCTGGCAAGCTACCCGTGATGTATTTGATATGCCAAAAACTAACAACAAGTCTCACAATTTGTTGAGATGTTACTGGTGCCCACTCAAGCAATTCAATGAACAACAGGAGGACAGTGCTACAGTGCTATGGAAAATAAAATAGAACAAACTTTGAATTGATGGTTGAAATGAAAATCTGGATTTATTTATTTCCAACAAGAGATCTGTTTTCACAGGTATTGTAATAATCAACTTTGTGACATGTTTATTTACTCCTAAAAGGTAATTATACATCGAAAGCCTGCTTGTTGCGAATGGATGTAGAAAGAAGCAAGTTAGTTAAATTAAATATATATCATTTAAATTTTAATATGGGGACCCCTCCAGCAGTCTTTGGGTTTTACTCCCAGTGGTATTTGTGCTTTTTGCATGCAAAGCCTGTCTTGGTCCTTTGAAGTATCTCTTCTGAATGCAAAAAGGTTTTATACTCTCCAACCTTTTGTGTTCTCTCTTCTGCCCATATCTATTAGTTTGAGGTTAACAGTGAATTCATATATCTCTGCAATAAAGATAATCTTGCCAGTAGGCTTACTAATGATTCCATTTGTGTTTCTTCTGCTTCCTCTCACCCTCTCTTACTCTCCTTTTTTTTCTTTTTTCTTTTTTTTTTTTTTTTGCTTTTTTTGGGTCACACCCAGCGATGCACAGGAGTTACTCCTGGTTCATGCACTCAGGAATCTCTCCTGGTGGTGCTTGGGGGGCCATATGGGATGCTGGGAATCGAACCTGGGTCTGCCGTGCAAGGCAAATACCCTACCTGCTGTGCCATTGCTCCAGCCCCTTACTCTCCTTTTTTAAGCTTACACTACTTAGCATATTGAACTCTGACTTCTGTTTTTGCCATTCTTTTATATTGCTTTGACAAATGTATTAATGATTTTAAATAACAAAGGCAGAAATAATAAAATGTTAATAATATTTTATTATTGTTTATAAAATTATTAATAATATTAATAAATTTTATGTCTAAATCTTTAAATCTAATTGAAAAGTAAATAGCATAAAAGGAAGCAGCATATGGCAGCGAAAGGCCAACATCTGTATTAAATAAGGAACTCTAAAAAATAAATAAGTAGGGAACTCTTACAAATTAAAAAAAAAAGTATCCTAATAGAATATGGACCTGTAGTATGAGTGACTAGTTCAAAAGAAAAGAAATAGACATGATTATTTAATATGAGATAAATTTTTAAATTAATTGAAAAGCAAAAGAAATTAAAATAAAATTAAGACACCATTTTCCTCATCAAATTAAGTGGGTAACAAAAACAAATGCTGACATAATGCTACCTGTGTGCTATGCATTTTTCTCAATACATTACTGAAATCAATACTTCCTTCAGTTCTGTAAGTATGTATTCTAGTTCACATAAAGATGACTAACTTCTCCCATGTTGCATAACAAATAAATGAGAAAGTCAGGATCTAAACCCAACTTCAGTGATTATATGGATTTAGTGGTATTGTTTTATTATTATTATTATTTTGGTTTTTGGGCCACACCCAGCATAGCTTAGGGATTACTCCTGGCTTTGTGGTCAGGAATTACTCCTGACCATGCTCCAGGGGTCCTGTGGCATGCTGGGGATTGAATTTGCATAGGGTATGTGTGAGGCAAGTACCTGTACTATCTCTCTGGCCCAGGGTTTAGTGCTCTTGAACTACTTCCTTTTATTGTCTCTTAAAGATTTTAATAGGTAATAACTGGGTTGAAAGAATCACTGTGAGCAGGCACTTTACTAATACAGTTATTAACACTACCAGTGAATAGACATTTCTCTAAGCCTGTTGAGTTGTATGTTTGAAAGCTTTAACTGTAGCACTGTCCTCCCATTGTTCATCGACTTGCTCGAGTGGGCACCAGTAACTTCTCACAACAAATTGTGAGACTTGTTGTTACTGTTTTTGGCATATTGAATACGTTACAGGTAGCTTGCCAGGTTTTGCTGTGTAGGCACAATATTCTTGGTAGCTTGCTGGGCTTTCTGAGAGGGGCGGAGGAATCATTTCTTTTAAATTTTGTTGTTTAGATTTTTGATGTGCGTGTGCGTGTGTGTGTGTTTTCAGTATAAGGGATTTATTTTTTATATTTTATTTTGGCTTTTTGGGTCACACCCAGGGATGCTCAGGGATTACCCCATCTCTGAACTCAGGAATTAACTCCTAATGGTGCTTGGGGGGACCACGTGGGATACCTGGGATTGAACCCAGCCTGGCTGTGTGCAAGAGAAACGCCCTCTCCGCTGGGCTCTTGCTCCAGCTCCCTCTAAAGCATTCTGATGAAATTGAAATTCTAGGCCTGGAGCCATTGTTCTGTGGGTTGAGTGCATGTGTTGCTGCAGGAGCCTGGGCTTGGTCACTGCCCTCACAAGAGTGCCCTCAGAGCACTGCTGAGATGACCCTGGGCTTCCTGCTTTTATCAGTAATTAAATTATATGCTCGAGCTCGAGCGGGCCCAGTAACGTCTCCATTGGAGACTTTGTTGTTACTGTGTTTGGCATATCGAATACTCTCGGTAGCTTGCCGGGCTCTCCGAGAGGGGCGGAGGAAATTATATGAGGTCACTTTGGGTAATTGTTTTGAAAACTTTTTTTTTTCGCCTTTTGGGTCACACACAGTGATGCACAGGGGTTACTCCTGGCTCTGCACTCAGGAATTACTCCTGTCAGTGCTCGGGTTTTAGGTATACACTAATTCAACACCAATCCCTCCACCAGTGTCAACTTCTCTCCAACGGTTTTCCCATATGGGATGCTGGGAATTGAACTGAGTTGGCCGCGTGCAAGGCAAACGCCTTACCCGTTGTGCTATCACTCCAGCCTCAAACTTTCAATATTTTAAATATCCTTTAAAACTCATTGAGGAATTAGAATTTGAATTAAATGTTATACATAATATAGAGGATATGTTTTGTCTTCCTAAACATTTTTTTATGTTATTTTTTACATCTAGTGTATCTGTTAAGATGCTTTAGGGAAGAACCATGGAGAAGTATGCTAGACTACAGAAGATAGGAGAAGGTTCCTTTGGAAAGGCTATCCTTGTCAAATCTACTGAAGATGGACGGCATTATGTTATCAAGGAAATTAGCATCTCTAGAGTAAGTATGTTTTTTTTTTTTTTTTTTGTGAAACACCATGAGGTACAGTTGTAGACTTACAAACTTTCATGCTTGGGTTTCAGTTAGAGTAAGTATGATTTTTGTTTGCGTAGTCAAATAATAGTCTGGTGAAAAGAAAAAGGACTTATTGTTACAGACTAATAAAAATATTGGGGTATAGTGGGTAGGGGTGCTTGTCTTGTATACAATCAACCCGGATTTTATTCCTGGCACCCTGTATCATCCCCTGAGCCTCATCAGGAGTGATCCCTGAGTGGCAAGCCAGGAATAAGTCCTGAGCACAGCTGGCTATGGCCCCAACTCCCCATGCCCCTCAAAAAGGTAAAAAAAAAATTGGAAATACATAAGTGAAAATCTTCAGCAATCACAGAGAAATTTGTTCATTTAAGCAGTATGTCTATTTTCAGTATTTTCAGATTTTTAAATGAGATATTTGTGTTTATGTTTTTTTAAAAAAATTTTTTATTAAGGAGCATTGATTTACAAAGTATACTGATAGTTAACTTTTAGGTATACACTAATTCAACATCAGTCCCTCCACCAGTGTCAACTTATCTCCAACTGTTTTCCTAGATTTATTTATTTATTTATTTTTTTGTGCTTTTTGGGTCACACCTGGCGATGTACAGGGGTTACTCCTGGCTCTGTACTCAGGAATTACTCCTGACGGTGCTCAGGGGACCATATGGGATGCTGGGAATTAAACCTGGGTCAGCTGTGTGCAAGGCAAATGTCCTACCCGCTCCGCTGTGTTTGTTTTTTTTTTTAAATGAAACATCTGTTCTGTGGCAATATAGTGTGACTACCAAAAGCGTATTTACTTGTAAATTTAACTCATTCTTTTAAAACTTCTTGCTTAACTTTGTTGTTTGAATATGCTTTATTGGCAACATCAAATCATTGAACCATTTTTTTTAAATTGATGGACTAAATATTGTAATTTAATATTTTCTTCTTCCCATTCCAGATGTCCAATAAAGAAAGGGAAGAATCCAGGAGAGAAGTTGATTTGTTGGCAGACATGAAGCATCCAAATATTGTCCAGTATAAAGAATCATTTGAAGGTCAGATCAATTTGTCTCTAAATTTTTATTTATTTATTTAACGGAATCATTGCAATACACAGTTACAAGGATGTTATGGTCAGGTTTGACATACAGTGTTCTGACACCTTCCCCTCCATCAATGTACATTTTCCATAATCAAGATCACCAGTTTTCTTCTCTCCCCGCCCCGTAGTCTGTCTATGGCAGGCTCTCTCTCTCTCTCCATCCCTCCCTTCCTCCCTCCCTGTTCCTTCCCTTTCTCCCCCTCTCTTTTTTCCCCTCTCCCTCTCCTTTTGGGATTTGCAATACAGATACTGAGAAGTTATCATATTTGTTCCTTTACCTGTTTTTCAGCACATAGTTCTTATCCAGATTGATCATTTCCAACTATCTTTGTCTTAATGGTCTCTTCTCTATCCCAGTTGCCCTCTCCCCTGAGCACTTGAGGCAGACTTCCACCTGTGGACCAATCCTCCTGTTCCTTGTTTCTGTTGTTCTTGGTATTAGTCTCATATTATGTTTTTTCATATACCACAAATGAGTGCAATCATTCTATATCTGTCTCTCCTTCTGAAGGTCAGAAAAATTTTGCAAGGAAGTTCGGAAAAACTCCTAAGCAGTATCATTACTTTTGGATACTTTTTTTTTTCTTAAAATGACTCTTCTACTAATTATTGTCAGAAAAAAATGTTAGTGCTTTTTAGCTGCATATGTTTATGGTATCTTAGGATATTACTAGATTTTAGGATATTACTGATACCACCCGAACGTGCTGTAGTTTAATAGTAGCACACAGTTATTAAGATTGCTTTAAAAGCCTGGTAAGTGCAAGAATTTGCAGTAGTTAGCAGTGGTTTTCTTTTAAAACCAAGTACTCATTAAATGCTACCAATGAAAAGTAGTTAACAAGTTTTGATCTTGTGAAAGCGTCACATGGCACATGAAAGGCAGTTGACCAACAGGGAATATGAGGACTATGAGAAGGGAGAAGATCACCCAGGTGGCAGGGAATTAATAGTGCTGAAAATGAGACTGTTAAGTACAAGCAGCCAAAGAAGCGAAAGCAGGGAGCACTGTTTTCTGAGTTGTGATAACCTCACCAGTTAGTTTTGTTTTAGTAAATATAGAGTATTCTTTTTACTTGCAGAGAGAAAGGGTAGAGAGGATTATATGGGTGTGTCTAGTTGATGGAAAGAAGCAAGAAAGTACCTTGTAGACCAGACCCTAAAGGGGACTGGAGCATTGCTGCATCCTCATGTTTCCTCAAAGATGATTTATGCTTCTAAAAAAGAACAAAGTGGGTTGGAGTGATAGTACAGCGGTAGGGCATTTGTTTTGCATGTTACTGACCTGGGTTCAATCCCTGGCATTCCATTTGGTCTCCCAAGCACTGCCAGGAGTAATTTCTGAGTGCAGAGCCAGGAGTAACTCCTATGCATTGCTGAATTTGACCCAAAAAGAAAAAAAAGAGAGAGACTGGAGTATACACTGTTGGTCCTCAGAGTTCCTCACTGCATCTGTAACTGTTTTTTTTTTCCCTTTTTGGGTCATACCTGGCAATGCCCAGGGGTTACTTCTGGCTCTGCCAGTCAGAAATTACTCCTGGTATTGTTTGGGGAACCATATGGGATGCCAAGGATCGAACCTGGGTCTGCCACATGCAAGGCAAATGTGCCCTACCTGCTAGTCTATCACTCTGGTCCATTACTGTATCTTTTAAAAATAAATATTTAATTAAGTTGATCAAATAAGGATGAAAAAGTTATGTTTAGTTGAAAACTAAGATAACCCATCTCTGACTTATTGATGTTTTTTTTTATGTGATAATCAAGGGAATATATCTGTTAAGTAAAATCAGTTTATCTGTCTACAACTAATTTATATTCCAGAGATGTTGAAGTCAATGAGGACACCACTGTCCAATATGAGGGTATATTCTAGGTAGAAAAATGATTAAATGATTTGTGAATAATTGTTTGTTAATCTTTTATTATGTAATCTATATTACCAGTATATTTTGCCTTGATTCTTTTTTATTTTTTTAAATTTTATTTTCATGAGGTTGTTCACATGAATTGATTACATTCAATATTTCAACACCATTCCCACTACCACTACACCTTCCCACCTCCATTATTTTGAATTTTCCCACCACCATTCCAGCGTGCCTGACAGGGAGAGATGCTGGATAATTTCTATTGCTTATTATGAACATCATGAGAGGTTGCATGGCCACGAAAGCGGCGGTGTGCTTCTGGAATTCTAGAATTGTAAATGGCTGGGGGCCAGGGACATCTCTGTAGGGAGCTAATCCAATTTGAGATTCATTTGAGAGTCTCAGGATCAAGGCTGAGATGGCGCTTGGCGGCAGATGGTGGGCGTGACAGCCAGGACCCCAAGCAGGTGGGGAGACGGGAAGGGCCGGCTTGTCTCTGCTGTCCCCATGTGGCCTGGAGTCGCACCTGGGTTTTTCTTCTGGAAGCTCATGGCCACCGGGGTTTCATCTGGAGTGGGTGGAGAGGGCACACCCTGGGGTTCGAAGAGATCTCCAGCAAGCTGCTGTCTTCTGGGGTTCACTGCTCTTGATTCTTTTTTTGAGTAGGTTTCTGTTTTTTGTTTTTATTTCCTTAGTAGAACACAACTAACTGCTACTCTTTAGTAAATATCTAAGTACTTTTTATTTAGCTCAACTTTTCAGGTGTGATTTTAAAACTGGAATAAAATATTTGTATTTTATAGAAAATGGCTGTCTTTACATAGTGATGGATTACTGTGAAGGAGGGGATCTGTTTAAACGAATAAATGCTCAGAAAGGCATTTTGTTTCAAGAGGATCAGGTAAGTGAGCATGTAGGAGGTTGGCACTTACTCCATAGTATTATTGAGAAGTACATTAGAGTTTGAAATTCCTCATATGTGTTTGCTTATAATTGAAACATTAATTTAATTACCAGTTTTTATGTCATAAGCCAGTATCTTAATCACATTTTTGTGCTAGTTACTTCTTGACTTAGTTTATTTCCCTCTCTCATTTTGTCTGTAATAAAATTATTACATATGTAATATATCTCTTGTGTGCTTGTATATGTGTATATGCATATAGCTATGTTAATTATATGTGTTATATGATGTGCATATATATGCACATAATTGCACTTATATAACTTAACCATTATAGTTGATTGGTTAATCTTTTGTTTATTTCTGGGTCAAACCCAGCTGTGGTGGGAATGGGGGGTTACTCCTGGTGCTTGGGGGTTTTTTTGGGGGATACTGTGAGGCCATATGGTGCCTTGGATAAAACCCAGGGCTATAACATGCAAAGCATGTGTTCCAGTCCTCTGTGCTATTCCCCTCTCCCCTATAATTTCTTCATCTTTATCCTGTCAACCTGGCTTACTGTTTTATTCCTAAAATGTGGCTTTATCATGTGTCTCTAAAAGCTTCACATCACATTGCCCACTACATTAAATCTAATTTCTGTTTTTATTTCAAGAATATTTGAAATATTCCTCTGTTGTAACCAACAAGCAATCTTAATTTTCCTGTTATTTCCTAACGTGAGAGCTTGTTTGGAGGTTCTAGCAGGAGAGCGCAGATACTCGTATACCCTTGACCGAAGACCGGTCCGTCTCTATTCGGGGAAGGCCTTCCTCTTCGACCAAGCACGCAGCTTCGGGAGGGATGCACATGGAGCGGTGAGGGAGGAAGGGGACACCTGCCTAGCCAGCCAGATCAGCCGAATCAACCCTGGCGATCAATGGGGTGACAGATGTCGCAGCCAGATTAAGGAATTAAATCTTTTAAATCTTTAACAATTATAAGATCTTGGTGCTGGAGTGATAGCACAGCGGTAGGGCATCTGCCTTGCACGCAGCCAACATGGCCGACCCGAGTTCGATTCCTCCGCCCCTCTCGGAGAGCCCGGCAAGCTACCGAGAGTATTCGATATGCCAGACACAGTAACAACAAAGTCTCCAATGGAGACGTTACTGGTCCTGCTCGAGCAAATCGATGATCAACGGGAGGGCCTTTACTTTACTTACTTTACTTCCTAACGTACCCCAGTTTTTTTTTTAAATTTTGGGACCATCCCTGTGATGCTCAGGGAGTTATTTCTGATTTTACTATCAGGAATTATGCCTGGCAGTGCTTGGGGAACCTCATGGGATGCCATGGATTCAACCCGGATTGACCATGTGCAAAGCAGATGCCCCTCCTGCTGTACTATCTCTCCAGCACCAAGATCTTATAATTTTTAAAGATTTAATTCCTCATAATTTTAGGTAGCTCTGAATACTTTTAAGGGTTTAGGAATAACTACCATGAAATATACATTTTAAAAGAAATGACATGTCTCACTTCTCCCACTGCCCCTAGATCTTGGACTGGTTTGTACAGATATGTTTGGCCCTGAAACATGTTCATGATAGAAAAATTCTTCATCGAGACATAAAATCGCAGGTATGATTATTCTCTCACTGTTACACTTTTGCACATGGGGTCTTGACCAATTTTTTTTTTTATGCTAGATTGTGTCTTCTCCCTGTGCTAATTTCCATTCACTTAGTCCTAGAAATTTTCTTCAACTACATCTTATTTTCAGTGTCCTGTCTTCTTCCTCTTTTTTAATTTCCAAGTTGGAAATTTGTTTTCCCGCAAAACGTTAAAGATGATTTTTAAAAAAATTTTAATTTCTCCTGTTACTATATTGGAGTTTAAAGACATTGTGATTTTGTATTTTTTCTGTCTGGAATTTTTTGGGATATGTTCTCTATCCCCATTGCTGTGAAATCTGAGTGTCACACATTTTTTTGAGGTTCAGGTTTTATTATCTTGTCTACTTTGAACTGAGAGTGTGTCTTTCTTTTGTAAAATGGATTTTGAAATGTTCTTTCTCGACCACTGCCTTACTGGTCACCTTCTGGAGTTGTTTTCTAGACATACGTTGCAGCTTCTTTTTTCTTTTGGTGTTTGGTTTTTAGGTCACACCCAGCAGTGCTCAGAGGCTACTCCCAGCATGGTGCTTTGGGGACCATGTGGTGCTGTGGATCCAAGCTCGCAAATGAACTCTTTGAGCTCTCTCCCTGGCCCTGTTGCAATTTCTTAATATAGCCTCCAAGTATCTGATTTCTTCTCTCATGTTTTATATCTTTACCTCTCTCAATTGCATTTTAGGGGAATTCTTCAGACTATCTTCCAGTTAACAAAATGCTTTTTAAATGTTGCATAATCTGCTTGTCTACTACCTTTTTATTTATTTTATTTTTATTTTTGGCTTTTTTGGATCACACCCGGTGATGCTCAGGGGTTACTCCTGTTTCTGTCTCCACTCAGGAATTACTCCTGGTGGTCTCAGGGGAACCATATGGGATGCCAGGGATCACATGAGGGTCAGCCACGGGCAAGGCATATGCCCTATCCAGTGTACTATTGCTCCGGCCCTTTTTTATTCCTTTTAAATGTATATTTATTATCTTACTTAACCTCCTTCATTTTTCTAAACATACTTGAAGTTTTGTTTTATAAAATTTTGTGTGGAGTAAATTACTCTGTTGATTTTTTTTGCATTATCTTTCTAGATATGTATTGGAACTTTTATTTTTAATAATGTATATATGTTTATGTATAAATATTTATGTGTATATATTGGGTTTTATGCCACATGTCACAGTTCTCAGGGTTTACTCCTATCTCTACACTCAGGAATTACTCCTGGCAGTGCTCAGGGGACCTTATGGGATGCCAGGGATTGAGCCTGGGTTGTCTGCTTGCAAGGCAAGTGCCTTTCCAACTGGACTAATGCTCCTGTGCCTTTATGAGAGATATTTTATCTCCACAGCTTGTTGGTTTTTAGATTGAGGTTTCATGATTTCCTCACTTGGGGGACTGTTTTGAGATGGTGAGTATAGAGGGAACTTTACTTCCTGGTTTCAAGGCAGTGTCTCTCTTCCCAGGCCCCCCACCAAATCCCCCCCCCCCCCACCCCTTTGGTTTTGTGCCCCACTCAGTGATGCTCAGAACTTACCCCTGACTCTGCTCAATTTCACTCCTGGTGGTGCTTGAGGTTCTGTATGTAGTACCAGGGATGGAGCCATATATGGTGCCTGGGATGAAACCCAGGTTGGCCAAAAATACCTTTAATCTTTATTCTGTCTCTGGCCCATGACTGTCATTTCTTTCTTCCTTTAGACCTGCCTGCAGCATCTTCTTTTTTTTTTTCTGTTTTGTTTTGGGGGCACATCTGACAGTCCTCAGTGTTTCTTCGGGTGCTGCGCTCAGGGATCAATCCTGGCTGGCCTCAGGATCATATGAGGTACTGGGGATTGAACCTGGGTAGATGGTGTATAAGCGCCCTACCCTACCTGCTCTGCACCCTGCAGCTTCTTACATACTGTAGAAGCCCCCTGTGAGTAGTTGGAAGAAGAGGAAAGATGATGGGAACTTCTTTCCTAGCCCGACAGTTTCATTTCACCCTCCTGACCCCATCCCAGTCAGCCCTCAGTTATGGCATCTTTGAGCCTGCCCTGAGTCAGTCTGATGAAGAGTTTTATTGTCCTGTACAAATTCTTGGTTTCACTGTTTCATTACGCGTTGAGTTATAATTATTAGAAAAATATATGGTTATTTTGTTACTTTTTCATAATTGAAATTTTCCAGGCAATTTTTAGCGAAGATGGTCTGGGGTGTTTTTTATTTATATTTCAGTATAGGATTAATTTTGAATTATCACAATCACAATCACAAATCATCCTGTTAATCGTTGATTGCCTCGAGCAGGCCCCAGTAACGTCTCCTTCATCCTAGCCCTGAGATTATATTCAAGGCTCCTTAGGAGAGTGAGACCCATCATTGTTACTGGTATTTGGCATATTGGGTATGCCACAGGGAGTTTGCCAGAGTCTGCCGTGTGGGCAGGCTACATTCGATAGCCTGCCAGTTTGTCCAAAGTAGGAATGAGATAATAAGATGTCATAATAAGATGTCCGGGAGCTGGTTTTTATAGTCTCTGAGTCTTGGCCGCTGATGGGATTACACGGCACCAGGGGGCCAGTTGGTGGGTGTGAGCCCTACTGGAATTTGGAGGATCTGGGTGGAGGATGCTCGGCCCAAATCCGAGTAGGCTTGGAGATCTTGGCCCCGGAACCCGCGTGACTTTGTCCCTCTGCCAGTACCTTCATGTGTGCGGAGAGTGGTCTCAGCATGGTGGTGGCTGGTCCTGGAGGTCTTTGGCTGCCGGAGCCCTGGTCGGGGCGGGGAGGAAAGCTCAACCCACTCCCCTCCAAGGGGCCCCGGCGGCGAGGACAGTCAGGCGCGGGGGCAGGAGACTGAATTAATTAATTAATTTTGAATTAATTTTTTTTTTTTAGAGATGAGAAGGGATCTCTGTTCATTCTTTTGCTTATGTTTAGTATTCATTTTCCCAGCATTATGTTCCCTCCCCTCTTTTCCCTTTTTTTGTTTTTGTGATGAAGGGGGAAGTTGCTCACACTTGGTTGTGAAACACAGAAGATCCACACTTTGTTGCCACACAGGGGACGTCAGTGGCAACAATGCTCTGATCACACTTGGCATGTAATGGATGGAGTAGCAGAATTGTCCTTCGGCCTCATTTATGCCTGCAGGGACTGAACTCTGCCCAAGTCTGTTTTTAGGGCTCTATCTGGCGGTGCTCAGGTATCGTTCCCAGCAGTGCACAAGGAACCAGTGACATGGTTTTGGGGATTGAACGCATGCTGGCCACATACAAGGCAAGCACCTTACCTACTGTATATCTTGCCAGCACCAAGCTGCATTATGTTGTAATTGAATTAATTTTTATGAAAGAGGTTTATATTAGCTTAGAACTGGGCTAAAACAATAATTCTGTTTTCTCCTCTTTTTACAGAATATATTTTTAACCAAAGATGGGACTGTACAACTGGGAGATTTTGGAATTGCTAGAGTTCTCAATAGGTAATGTAGCAATTATGAACTTAATTTTGATATCTTTTCAGTGAAATTTTAATTGACAGTGATAAAAATATAATAATTTACAGTATCTTTGGGCTGGAGCTATAGAACAGTGGGTAGGGCGTTTGTCTTGCACGTGGCTGACTCGGCCAACTAGAGTTTGATTCCTCTGCCCCTCTCAGAGAGCCGGGCAAGCTACTGAGAGTGTCTCACCCTCATGGCAAAGCCTGGCAAGCTGAGGTATTCCATATGCCAAACACAGTAACAACAGTCTCACAATGGAGACACAGTAACAACAGTCTCAGAATGGAGACATTACTGGTATATGAACAACTAGAGGACAGTGCTACAGTGTTACAATATCTTTAAGTATCTCAAGCATTTTTGGTGGGGGGGGGGGTGGCTCGGTCCTGGCTCCACTCAGGCATCACCCCAGGCAAGACTCGGATGACCATATGGGGTGATGGGAATCAAAATTGGGTTTGCTGCATGAAAGGCTTTTATAATTATAATAATTCTCCTTTTTTGTTTTAGTACTGTAGATCTGGCTCGAACTTGTATAGGAACTCCCTACTACTTATCACCTGAAATCTGTGAAAATAAGCCTTATAATAATAAAAGGTATTTAAACTTACATTCATTGCGTGATATATTTTAAATCTTTTGTATGCATTTCCTTAGAAAATACATTCTTTCTAAACATAATTGATCTTTAGAATGTAATCCTAAAACCCGTAGTATACATATATAAACATATATATGCACGCACATTAAAAACTGAATAAGGGGAATTATAGAGAATCTTTTTCACTGCATTTATAGATAGAATCACCTTACTATTAAAGTTATAATTAGAAATCAGGTACTTATTTTATTTTGTCTTTGTAATATTCATTTCTTATTAAATTAATATTTAAATTTAAATTAAGTTTATATTTATTGAAACCTAACTGTATGTGCCAACTGTATGTGTACTGCTTTGAATACTTTCTGTCTACTAGCTATTAAACTTGACAGAAACCTTGTGAGTCAGATATTAGTCATTCCTTCTTGCCTTATGAAAAATTAAATTAGAGAGGTAAAATACCTTTTAAATTTGGGGCATCCAGTTCCCAATCCCAAGTTCCTGATCACTGCTTTGCATTCTGTCTAATAGCTTATAATTAAATAGGTGGTAAAAGGAATTCCACCACAGAATCCTGGTTACTTTTTCTTGTTGCACCCTTTCTTATTGAAGAAATTCCAGCCATGAACTACTGGTGTGAAATTTTTAAATACCCATATAAGCTAAAAGAACAAAATGGTAGCTGACAGTAATGCATGTGTTTATGAATTTTGTCCTCTGCACTCTCATCCTTGCTCTTCTGTTTTGAGGGTGAAGGGAGCTTCTTTTCTTTTTTCTTTTTTGCTTTTTTGGGTCACACCCGGCGATTCTCAGGGCTTACTCCTGGCTCTGCACTCAGGATTACTCCTGGCGGTGCTCAGGGGACCATATGGGATGCTGGGATTCGAACTCGGGTTGGCCGTGTGCAAGGCAAACACCCTACCCGCTGTGCTATCGTTCCAGCCCCGAAGGGAGCTTCTTTTCGATCCTGAGCAGTGGGACTGAGAAAGTTCTCCTAGAAATGTAGTTGGGTAGGGAGGGGATGGTGATTGGGCAGTGCTTAGGGCTTACTTTTGTGCTCAGAGGTGACTCTTGGTGATGCTCAGGAACCATATGTGGTCCTGGGATCAAATCAGGGTTGGCCCATGCAGGGCATGTGCCTGAATCCCTGTACTCTCTCTCTGTCTCCCACTTTGTAGAATTTTACATGGAATTTGTTTTTTTTTTTTTTTTTTTTTTTGCTTTTTGGATCACACCCAGCTATGCACAGGGGTTACTCCTGGTTCTGCGCTCAGGAATTACCCCTGGCAGTGCTCAGGGGATCATATGGAATGCTGGGAATCGAAATCTGGGTCGGCCACATGCAAGGCAAACGCCCTACCCACTGTGCTATTGCTCCAGCCACCTGGAATTTGTTTTTTTGGGGGGAAACAAAGTGCTTTAAATATGTAGTGGGATAGAGGTGTGGCAAAAAGGTTCTGAATTAGCATTATCAGTTATATTGTCAAATGATTTTTTTTATAAATATAAGGCATTTTATTAATGTAGTTGTAACATGTGCAGATTACTAAATTAATTATATGTACTTTCTAGTTGAAGCTTGAAGTAGATTTGGAAGGTTACAAATTTGTATTTATAAATTGTATTAATGTTTTGGTAAAGGTAGCCTTAGGATTTCAATAATGGGCTTCATTTTCAATAATTTCAACTTTTGGGAGCAGTGGTTTTTGTTTTCATTGACTTCTTAGAATGGTGGTTCTTATTAGAATAGCTACAGTACCTCTCTTAAGCATGAATTAATTTTTTGTAAAAAATAGAATGGTCAGGGCTGGAGTGATAGCACAATGGGGAGGGTGTTTGCCTTGCATGCAGCCGACCTGGGTTTGATTCCCAGTATCCCATATGGTCCCCTGAGCACCGCCAGGAGTACAGAGCCAGGAGTAATCCCTGTACATCACTGGGTATGACCCAAAAAGCAAAAATAATAATAATAATATTAATAAAATAAATTTTCTTGATTGCATTACTTTAAAAAAAATGGAGTGGTCTTTTTATTATGAAAGAGCCTGTTTAAGAAATGAGAAAAGATCAAATGTCAAGAAACATAGCTAAAATTTCTTTAAGTACAAAAACTAATGTTTACTTTTATATAACATTTTAACTGACTATTGTAGGTTTCCTTTTTAATTTTAGAAAATTAGTTTTTTCTTCATGTTCATTAGAGCAATATTTTGCTTTTCATATTTAAACATTTTTGGTATTTTGCAGGTACTTGAACAAAGCAGCTTGACTTTTGTAAATTAAATAATGGACTACCCATGAAATTTGCAAGTCTGTTTCAAATATACTTCTTCAGTGAAATTTTAAATCTGTCACCTACTCAACCATTCTCTTTCGAACCTGAAACAGCTGCTTTGATCATTTGGTTAGGGCTGAAATTTCAAGTTTTGAAGGTTTTATTTTATATATATATTTAAAATTTTCATGTTGCATTTGCTTTCTTTAAATGATTTAAACATAAATTCTCATAAGTATTGAAATGTCTTATTTTTTTCTTTTATAGTGACATTTGGGCTCTTGGTTGTGTCCTGTATGAGATGTGTACTCTTAAACATGCAGTAAGTAGAAATGACTGAAATAGTAAAAAAAAACTATGTCAAAGTTACTCAAATTTTTATTTTATTTGTTTAAAATTTTTATTAGTGAGACACCATGAGGTACAGTTGTAGACTTACAAATTTTTGTGCTTGGGCACTCAAATTTTTATTTTATTTTTATTTTATTTTATTTTTTTATAATTTATTTATTTATTGAATCACTGTGGGAAAAGTTAGAGCTATCAGGTTTAGGTCTCAGTCATGTAAATATCAAACACATTTCCCTTTACCAATACTTATTTTTAACCGTGAACCCCAATAGAACCCCACCTCCCACCCCTCCCAATTCCCGTGAGGCAGATGAGTTCTAGTTAACACTCTGTCTACTTTGACTAGATTCACTGTTTCGATAAAAGATGCACCATTATTATTTAGAGTTTACGACCCCCCTCCCCCCCCAAATCAGACATGCTGAAAAAGCGTTGTGAAATGATTTGCTTTCTATAGCTGGGTTTAAGAATTAAATGTTGTCACCCGCAGCCGCGCGGTTTTGGATTTCTGCTATTTTACTTATTAACCCTGGAAGTATTTCTATTAAAAGTTAGATAGTTAAGAGATTGGTTTCTGTGCTCTGGAGTCGTGGCCGTGCCGGAGAGCCGCTCGTGGGGGGCAACTGGTGGCCTCGGTAGGGCGTGAAGGATGAACCGGAACGCCCCCTTCCCATGAGGTTTTAGTCGCCCCCGCACCCCCGGCTCATACCTGTTCTCCACAAGGCTCCCGTGCGGCCGCCATCTTTCTTTCCAGAGAGGAGAGGGCGAATGGGGCAACACCCTTTCCCCTCCGGGCAGGCATGATGGCGCGGTTTAACACATAGTCAATTCACTTTTCTGCTCCAAGCGGCTGGTTTTCTGCGCTAAGTCCTTGTGCTTCTGGGGCCGTGGCCGTGCTGGAGAGCCGCTCGTGGGGGGCAACTGGTGACCTTGGTAGGGCGTGAAGGACGGTCCGGAACACCCCCCTTCCCATGCACTCAAATTTTTAAAACTCATCTTTAACATAACTCTTGTACTAAATATTTTCATTTAAAAAGTTTTTTTTATTTTTAAATTTCATTTTCATGTGGTTGTTCACATTAATTGGTTATATTCAGTATTTCGATACCAATCCCACTACCATTACATCTTCCCACCACCATTCAACTCTGTCTGTCACAGGCAGGTAATTTATTTTCTATTGCTTATTATGAATATCATGAGCGTTCCTGGAATTCTAAAATTGTAAATGATTGGGGTCTGGAGACTTCTCTGTAGGGAGCTAACCCATTTTGAATTCATGTGTGAGTCTCTGGCCAGAGGCAGTTCATGGGTGTGACAGCCAGGACCCCCCCAAGGGAAGGGGGATGGGAAGGGACGGCCCTTCAGTCCCTGGTCCCCGCATACTTGGGTTTTTCTTCTGGAAGTTTGTGGCCCCCAGGGGTTCATCAGGGCCGAGAGGGGACACCTGCTCCATCTGAGGTGCCCTGCTGAAATTGGCTCCGCCCAGGGTTCAGAGAGATCTCCAGCAAAAGCTGCTGTCTTCCAGGATTCACTGCTGAGCTCATTTTTTAAGATACTTTATCTTTCTGAAGTATATATGTTTCTTTATCACATATCATGGTCACGGTCTTCCTGTTGTTCATTGATTTGCTCGAGCGTGCCCAGTAACGTCTCCATCGTGAGACTTGTTGTTACTGTGATTGGCATATTGAATACATCACGGGTAGCTTGCCAGGCTCTGCCGTGCGGGCGAGATACACTCGGTAGCTTGCTGGGTTCTCTGAGAGGGGCGGAGGAATCGAACTCGGGTTGGCCATGTTGGCCACTTGTAAGGCAAACGCCCTACCGCTGTGCTATCGCTCCAGCCCTTTATATGATAAAAGTTTGTTAGTGTAATACACAGAACATATTTTTTCAAAAAATTGTACCTTAAAGACAAATTTGAGGTCTTCTTAATAAGTTCGTATGTTATATTGATATTTTAACTTAGCAAGTTATTTTAGTTTTATCCTCACAGTTGTTCTTAAAACATGCAAGTTGTTTAGGGTGGAGCTATCCGAATAATGTTTTTCAATGTATTTATTAAGGGATTTTTATCGATTCTCTTTAGAGTACTAAAAATATTTCACTTAAAGATATTTTACCTACTATTCCATGAAGGAGAGATTTTTATCCCAAATAGTTTGCATTTTAATTACTTTCCATTTCAAAATCTTGCTTTTAGTAAATCTTCATTGATTATATAATAATGTATATTATAGAAAACTTAAAGAAAATGCTTAAAAATATAAAGAAGTGAACAGATGTTAAAAAGTGCTTTTTCTAGCCATGAGTTCTCACAGTATCACAGTATCTTGCTTTCTTCTCAGCGTTCATCTAGGTTACTCTATAAATGACACTTCCCCCTTCCCTCTCTGTTGTGCTAATCAGGGTCTGCATGTACTTAAGGTGGGGTTTTCTCCCAAACAGCACCCCCTGCACCCCCCCACCCCCCCACCCCCCGCTTGGTAAGCTCTGTAGACCAGTTCTCAGTTTATGCCAGAATTTTACCAAACATATATATCCAAATATATGTATTATACATATATTATATATAATATATATATGTTATATGTGTGTGTGATCACACCTGACAGTGCTCATGCTCAAGGGTTACTCCTGCCTCAGCCTCAGAAATTACTCCTGGCGGTGTTCCAGGGACCATATAGGATGTCCTTCTATGCATGTTCCAGGGCACCACAGCCCCACCAGGGTCCCAATGTTCCTGCCCCTGTCCTATGCCCCCCACCATCCTACAGTGATATGCTTCTACTGAAGACCATAAAATTGTCTAGTATACCCAGTAAGGTGCTTACCTTGCATGAAGCATACCTAGGTTTGACCTCATTTGTTTTCTTGAGCACTGCCAGGAGTGTCTGAACCAGCAGTAGCCTCTGAGCATTGCTGGGTGTGGCCCAAGACCCCCCCCCAAAAAGAATTTATAAATATATGAAACTAACCAAGTGAACCTTGCTTAAGAGTGAGGCTTTTTAAACTTTTCCGCTCATGACCTTGTTCATTAGGTGACATAAAATATATAGTTATATAAAATAGGCATACAAATCTAACTTTTACTGATAATAAGTCATAAAGACATTTACTTAAAAAATATTTAAGTTAACCAGGAAGCTAGGCTTTAGAGACATGCTGGTTAAACTTTTTGGAAGAATATTGTCTTGTGTTTCATATTGATAGGAAAGGAACTGTTTTTAGTGTAGTTTTTCCTATTTTTCATTTGTCTTTATGTGTGCTGATTTATTTTCTGGATTTTAGTTTGAAGCTGGCAGTATGAAAAACCTGGTACTGAAGATAATATCTGGATCTTGTCCTCCTGTGTCTTTGCACTATTCTTCTGATCTCCGCAATTTGCTTTCTCAGTTATTTAAAAGAAATCCCAGGGAAAGACCATCAGTCAACTCCATATTGGAAAAAGGTTTCATAGCCAAACGCATTGAAAAGTTTCTTTCGCCTCAGGTAAGTGGTGTTTTGTTTTCTGACTATTAACTCAGCTGAAAAGTCAGGGTTTGTGCTTAATGAGGATACACTCTCCTTGGTTTTGGTGAGAAGCCCAAATTTGGGGGTAATGATGTGCCTTAAGACTGGCAAAGGGGCTGGAGAAGATAGTACACAACTAAGGTACCCACCTTACATGCTAGACTGACTTTCATCCCCAGCACCACTAGGAGTGACCCCTGAGCACTGCCAGGTGTGGCCTAAAAATCCAAATCTTTCTCACAAAGAGAAATCTTATGGTGAAGTCACCTTTCTTTTTATTTTTATGTGGTTCTTTCTCTTTTTCACTGGTGAGACTGAAAGAGGTAAGACTGTGCCTCCTCTCAATACTTGATAATTCACTTCTGATAATTCTTCTTTTTTTTTTGGTTGGGGGGCTTTTTGGGTCAAACGTGGTGATGCTCAGGAGGTTACTCCTGGCTCTACACTCGGGAAATACTCCTGGCAGTGCTCAGGGGACCATATGGGATGCCAGGGATCTTACAGGCAAGATAAATGCCTTCCCCACTGTCTGTCGCTCTGGCCCCCATTTCCAATACTTCTGATTATGTCAATCAGTGGGTTGGGTTTTTTCCCCACTTCTGCCCATTTTCTAACAACACTGTCTACCCAGAATCAATGTTAGATTTAATAGGTTAAAGGTTCATTGTCACAAGACTCTTGTCATTCATTCACCAGTCCTGAGTCTATGTTGCCAGCGGTGATAGCGAGTCACCAGCTCTAAGTAGACTCTCCTGAGAACTACCCCCTCTGCCCCGTCCCCCCACCTGCCCAGGGTTGGTGGGTTTTCCAGGACACTTAACAGCTCGCAGATACAGTTACTTACTGCTTCCCAGTTGATTGAAAGGGAAACAGATGAACACTATTTGAAGAGATATGAAGGTAGGTCTCATAAGAGTTCCAATCCTGGGAGATTCTTATTATGTATAATTGAGATAAGTTGATATATAGCTATATGTCATTTTTAGATATACAACATGATTCACTATTCCCACAGTGAAATGTTCACGTTAAGTACAGTTAATGTATTCATCTTTAGTCATGGTTTTAAGGGTTTTTTTTTTTTTGTAAAGCAAGATACTTTTCACTGAAACTTAGAATGATGTGAGGGGAGAGAAAGAGAGGAAGTACGTGTTTGAGAGAGAACACAGGCTTCTCCAGAGTGGAAAAGGTATAGGCACAGACAGGCGAGCAAGAGACCTGTTAAGAGAAAACACTGGTTGGGGCTGGAGCGATAGTACAGTGGTTAGGGCATTTTCCTTGCACGCAGCTGACCCAGGTTCAATTCCCGGCATCCCATATGGTTCCCCAAGCACCACCAGGAGTAATTGCTGAGTGCAAAGCCAGGGGTAACCCCTGAGCATCACTGGGTGTGACCCACAAAGCAAAAAAAAAAAAAAGAGAGAGAGAACTCTGGCTTGGAGAGCAAGCATGATTCACGTTTTATGTAAGTGATAAGGATGGATATTTCAGATCTACTTTAAAATATGGCCACTGTAGCTGGAGCAGTCGTGCAGCTGGTACAGAGATAACTCAGCTGACCTGAGTTTGATCCAATTTCCTCCCAGCCCACCAGGAGTAATTTCTGAGTGTAGAGCCAGGAGAAACCTCTGAGCACTGCCGGTGTGGTCCAAATGCAAACAAACATTAGCAAAGAAAAAAAAAATGTTATTTATTTTGGGAGTGCCCCCAAGTGGTTCTTGTGGGTCCTGGTGCCACTTCTGGTACTAAACACCTGGACTGGTGATTCAGGTAGTGCCAGGGTCTGGAGCTACAGTGCTGCTCAGCTCTGTGGTCACAGAGTGGGATCTCCAGCACCGTGCTCTGCAGTGCGATGAGGCCCGGAGCTACCAAGCAGCCCGTAGGCAGCCTCATCTTTGCCTAATTACTGTATCTCCTGGCCCCTAAGCCTTAATTAATCTAATAACATCTGGATAGTGAAAAACTAGATTGAACAGCAGAGCATAGAGATTCTGCAATCATCTAAGTCCTCTTTCTTTGAATTTATATTTGCATTAGTATAGGAAAAAAGACTCATTTAGGTAATGGGGAAAATTAATTTGGTGTAAACTGGAGGTCACAAGGCATTCATTTTCTTTCACAAAAAAGGAAAAACTATAGATTTTTCCAAAGAGGAAGTGCACTGACACAGTTGCTCTGATTTGCCTGTGACTTCCAAGCTGTGATTGTCAAACTTTAGCATACATGAAAATTTCCTGGAAAGCAATGCTGAATGCCACTTCCTGAATTCTAGTCTAGTAGCTGAAACAGAGCCTTAAAATTTGCATATTTAATAAAATTGTGATCAACAGTGTTTTCTGCATGTGAAGACTTTGAAAATTAATGCTCTAGGGGGAACCAAGGTTGACTATCTTACATCCTAGGTCATTTGCCTTTAGTGCATTGCTAAAATTTACCATTGCTGCTGTGGTAATATTTCCTCAAAAAAAAAATCCTGACTTATGTTGAGTTCTGTCTTTGTTGATATCACAGTTTTGCACTTAGGGGGAAGATGTAGTGGTTGGAAATGACTTGCAGAAAATACTCATGATTTTTACTGCTCAAAATAAGTTTATTAATGCTCAGGAATAAATAGTGGAGTGTTTAGTAATAATAAGAGATACTTTTATGTAATTATGTAAGAATATTCAAATATTTATCAAGAAGCAATTTATTATATTTTGCTAAGAGTAAAAGCTCATTGGAGATATTTGGGAGATTCAGAGGAAAATTGAAATAATTGAGAAGCTAATCTGAGGAAAGGAATAATGAAGTTCCTCAGTTTTTAATAAATGAGAAATATCGAAGAACATAAAACATTGAGATTATTCCCAGAAAGAAGACAGTTTCATTAAATCGTTGAGATCCAGAGCAGGAGAGCAATATTGCAGGTTGGTTAATTTGAGAAGTAAGCCTGTCTGTAGAAATAAGATTAGAAAAGAGTTGGTGTGAGAATGATGTGGTGATGGATTACTTGGGGTTTTTTTGGCAATTTGTTTGACCACATAATTGTTACTGGAAAAAAAAAGTTTTGTAATTATGTATGCTTTTTTTAAAAAATTTTAACATTTTTTCTAACTTTTTTCCCCCTCTTTTAATCCAAGCTTATTGCAGAACAATTTTGTCTAAAACCGTATTCCAGGTTGAAAGCCCTGCCAGGTAAGTGAATTTAATATTAATACTTTTGCCTATTTGAGATAGTTAATATGCTAATAGTTAATGCTATTGATAAATGTAAATGGAGTGAGTTAAGATAATTCTAGCATCAATTTAAAAGTAAGCCCAGCTTTAATTTTTTTTTATGTTATATGACAATATGCAACAGTTTCTCAACTAGTAACAAAACTCTCATCTTTTTTTGGTCTGCCTTAAAGTAAAGTAAAGTAAAGGCCCTCCCGTTGATCATCGATTTGCTTGAGCGGGCCCAGTAACGTCTCCATTGGAGACCTTGTTGTTACTGTGTTTGGCATATCGAATACGTCACGGGGAGCTTGCCAGGCTCTGCCGTGCGGGCGAGATATTCTCGGGAGCTTGCCGGGCTCTCCGAGAGGGGCAGAGGAATCGAACTTGGGTCGGCCATGTTGGCTGCGTGCAAGGCAAATGCCCTAAATGAAATCATTCTTGAAATCTTTGTCAGATACTTATTTAGAATGTTTTAAAGTATCCTAGATAAGTATACATATTTACATAAAATACTTTTCTTTGACAAATATTTCATAGCTTAAAAATAGTTTTAGGTAAATTAATGTAAAATAGGGCATCTTGCCAAGATATATACATATATGAATATATTTTTTTATATTTTTATTTTATTTTTTTTCTTTTTGGGTCACACCCGGCGATGCACAGAGGTTATTCCTGGCTTTGCACTCAGGGTGCACCTGGCGGTGCTCAGGGGACCATATGGGATGCTGGGAATCGAACCAGGGTCGGCCATGTGCAAGGCAAACGCTCTACCTGCTGTGCTATCGCTCCAATCCCTATATTTTTCTTTTATTTTTTAAATTTTTTATTTATTTATTTTTTCTTTTTGGGTCATACCCAGAGATGCACAGGGGTTACTCCTGGCTCTGCACTCAGGAATCACTTCTGGCGATGCTCAGGGGACCATATGGAATGCTCAAATTGAACCCGGGTTGGCCGCGTGCAAGGCAAATGCCCTCCCCACTGTGCTATTGCTCCAGCCCCTATTTTTCTTTTAAATATGGCCAGGGATAGTTGAATATTTGCAGTTTTCTGTGTGTGTTTACCATATATGTATCTAAATATATATATATATTTAGGATCCAGACTGCTACAGTGGCTAGAGTGCTTGTCTTGCATGTGACTGATCCAGGTTTAATCCCCAGCATCCTATATGGCTCCCGTAGTGTTCCACCATGAGTGATCCCCGAGCACAGAATCAGGAGTATTCCTGAGCACTGCTAAGTGTGGCCCAGAAACTAAATATATATGTTTGTATTTCTGTGTGTGTGTGTGTGTGTGTGTGCTTATACATGTATATACTTAAATTTGGGTTATAGGGAACATTTTTTTTCCTACATGGGATGAGTTTAGAATAGATTTCTAAAATCCATACAAGTTACTTAAGATTTGAAGAGTGTATTGTTTTTAAAGCATTATTCTTTTTATTTTTTTACTCTTTTCATTGTACTCCATTTTGTTTTTACTAAAGTAATAAAACTGAGTCCATGTAAGTTGGAAGGGCATAGCAGTGCATTCTCAGAGTCTTACACTCAGTGTCTTAATATGTAGATTGTCAATTCCAAGAAAATTAACTTACTCTAAACAAAATTCACCAGACATGGACAGAGAACGGAGGCAGCTTGTCTGTCTCCGGGCAGTCATGCTTCTTGAGAAGTCCAATCTTAATCAAAAGTCTATTGTCACACAGACCAGGAGTTCCTCATGCCAGCACATTCTTCCCAGCTGGATAAGACTGTTTAGGAATTAGAAAGTTATAAGAGGAGTTGGGTGAATAAAATACTTAATTTAATTGCATGAGACTATTTGTGTAAAACTATAACCTTTTTGGTCTCTAATTCCTGTAAACTTTGTCTTATCGAAAACCTTGTCACCGAGCTTGAGAAGTGCTCAAAAATCAGTTGAGTTGGGGCCAAATATATAGTGCTGTGGGTAAGGCCAGCCGCTAGGAGCACGGCCCTGAGTGATCCCCTGAGTACAGAGCCACAAGTAACCCAGTCTCTTGGCAAGTGTGGCCCCCAAACAAAAACAAACAAAACTCAGACAAGTCATTTCTTCTCTGGAACGTGAATGAGAGCAGTGCATGTCTGCTTCTTGGGACTGTGTATTTTAATATTTTCTTCATGTTAAACAGATTAAGATCATGTGCCTTTGTATAGCAACATTCTCATTTGATCTTCATAGGAGTTTTTTTTTTCTGACATTTCATCTTCCTGTCAGAATAGTTTTGGAATATGGATTTGAAAAACTTTACTCTCCAGCATAATTATTTATGAATATCTAAGCTGCCAATTGTATGACTAATGCCTTCCTAAATTTTATGATTTGTTAAATTATATGGTTCACGTGTTCATTATAAAATTTAAAAAAATTCTTTTTCCCCCTGTTTTATTTTATATGGGCAACTAGTTGGTGTCATGACTAGGTTTGAGGGTGGCTTTTTTTTTTTCATTCATTTTTATTAGTGAAACACCATGAAGTACAGTTGTAGATTTACAAATTTTTGTGCTTGGGTTTCGATTATACAATGATCAAATACCCATCCCTCCACCAGTGCCCATTTTCCACCACCACGGGTCCCAGCATCCCTCCCACCCCCCATCCCCCCCGTCCCACCCTGCCTCTGTGGCAGGGCATTCCTTTTGTTCTCTCTCTCCTTTTGGCTGTTGTGGTTTGCAAAAGAGGAATTGAGTGCCAATCATGTTCAGTCCATAGTCTGCTTTCAACATGCATCTCCCATCATGGGAGGATCCTGCAAACACCCTTTATTTGGTGCTTCCTTCTCTATCTGAGCTGCCCTTTCCCCTAGAATGCCCGGCTGGCCGCTAAGCCATGGAGTAATCCTCCTGGTACTGATCTCGGCTGTTCTTGGGTATTAATCTCCTATTTTGTTACTTTATGTCCTCCAGATGAATGCAATCTTTTTACGTCTGTCCCTCTCTTTCAGACTCATTTAGCTTAGCATGATACTTTCCATGTAGTACCACTTGTATGTAAATTTCATGACTTCATCTTTTCTAACAGCTACATAGTGTACTCCATTGTGTAAATGTACCAAAGTTTCTTTAACCAGTCATCTGTTCTCGGGCACTCAGGTCTTTTCCAGATTCTGGCTATTGTAAAGAGTGTTGCAATGAACAAACAAGTGCAGATGTCACTTCAACTATACTTTTTTGCCTCTCTGGGATATATTCCCAGGAGTGGTATTTCTGGGTCAAATGGGAGATCAAATTCTAATTTTTTGAGAATCGTCCATACTGTTTTCCAAAAGGGTTGGACCAGTTGGCATTCCCACCAGCAGTGAAGGAGGGTCCCTTTTTCACCACATCCGTGCCAACACCGGTTGCTTTTGTTCTTTTGGATGTGGGCCTGTCTCTGTGGTGTGAGATAATATCTCATTGTTGTTTTGATCAGCATCTCCTTGATGATTAATGATGTAGAGCATTTTCTCATGTGCCTGTTAGCCATTCAGATTTCTTCTTCGAGAACGTTTCTGTTCATTTTGTCACCCCATTTTTTTATGGGGTTGGATGTTTTCTTGTGGAGTTCAACCAGTCCTTGTATATCCTTGATATCAACCCCTTGTTGGATGTATATTCGGAAAATATCCTTTCCCATTCTGTAGACTGTCTTTGTAATTTGGTCACCGTGAAACCGAATTTTTTTTAACATATTTTTTTGACAGCTTTATTGAGATATAATCTGCAGACTACTCAGTTCACCTACTTAAAGTCTGTATGTTGGTGATTTTTAAAGTGCATTCATGTCTTTGTGCAGTCAGTCAGGTTTAGAATGTGTTTACTTCTTTTTCTTTTTGTTTTTATTCCCCTCCCCCTCTTCTCCCTCCCCTTCTTTCTCTTCTTTCAGGCTTTCTGCTGAAGTGCTCAAGGACTACTCTTGCCTTGGTGCTTGCTGGTGGTTTCCCTCATTGTTAGGGCACCATGTAGTGCTCTGGGTAGATCCTGAGGCTCTAGTCATGTTAAAACAAGTGCTCCAGTCCTTCAAGCTATAGCCTGACCCTGGCATATATTTTTTGTGTGTTCTTGTTGGCCACACCCAGTGATGCTCAGGGGTTGCTCCTGACTCTGCACCCAGGAATCACTGGCTGCATGCTCTGGGGACCATATAGGTAGGTGCTGGGGATTAAATCCGATTTGGCTGCATGCAAGGTTAGAGCCTTACCTGCTGTATTATCTCTCTGACCCTATATATATATATATATATTTTTTTTTTAACTTGGGGCATTTTAACATCTTAGATGAATGTGACTTTCGACTTCTTTCAAAAAGTGACTTTATTTTAAATAGTTACAGTGAAAGAACTCACATTTAGTAAGGAATAAAGAGAATATTAGATAAAAAAACTCAAGTTTTATTTATTTGCTTTTGGGGCCACACTCGGCAGTGCTCTGACTTTGGGGATCTCATGCAATATCAGGAATCAAAGCAGGAATCAAGTCAGGCACTCTACCTGCTGTATTATCACTCTGGCCATGAAAAATACCAAGTTTTAAATCTGTAAAAAATAGTAAAGTGCTCTCAAAGAATTTTTAAAAGATTTAACATTATGAACTCTGACTTTTATTTTTTTTAAATATTTAGCTAAAAGACCAGCTTCAGGACAAAGTGTTGCTTCTCCAGTGTCTGCTCAGAAAATCACAAAACCAGCTGCTAAATATGGAGTATCTTTACTGCATAAGAAAAATGGGGATAAAAAATTAAGTGAAAAGAAACCACTTCAAAAATATAAACAGGTATGATCATGTCATAAACTGTGTTAATAACAAATTCAGCTTAACTGAACTAAGTTGTAGACCATTCTAGTTTCTTGATAGTCACAGGATTGTTTTAATTATGCTTCTGATGAACATTGTTCTTGACTGCATTGTCTTCTACAACAAAGATGTCTTACAGAAAACATCACGGTCACAGTCCTCCCATTGTTCATCAATATGCTCGAGCAGGCCCAGTAACATCTCCATCGTGAGACTTATTGTTACTGTATTTGGCATATTGAATACATCACGGGTAGCTTGCCAGGCTTTGCCGTGCAGGCGAGATACTCTCGGTAGCTTGCTGGGCGCTCCAAGAGGGGTGGAGGAATTGAACCCGGCTCGGCCAGGCTGGCTGGGCGCAAGACAAATGCTCTACCACTGTGCTATCGCTCTAGCCCAACAGAAAACATAGAAGCATTAAATATGTTACGTGTAGCAAAAAATTGATATTTCAAATGAATTATTTTTTTTAACAGTCAAAGCAGAGCTATTTATTTTTGGATTTGGAATTTGTTTTTTGGGCCACACCCTGCAATGCTCAGGGATTACTCCTGGCTCTGCACCAGGAATTGCCCCTGGTGGTGCTTAGGGAACCACATTGAATGCTGGGGATCGAACACAGGTCAGCCATGTGCAAAGCAAATGCTCTTCCCACTGCACTGTCACTCCAGCCAGCTATTTGTTTTTGAGCAAAATGCAGCTAAGTGTCTAAAACATTGTGTATGTATCTGGGAATCTTTATATTTTGTGTTTGAGAGTTCATAATCAGGTGAGAAATCAAAATAGCATTAGAAGGACTATGAAGTCTCTTCTGTACTAATTTGAATGAAAATAAGATCTGGGGGACCAGAACAATAGCAGAGTGGGCAAGGCATTTCGCGCATTGCACAGGGCTGACCTGTGTCCAATCCCCAGCATCCTATATGTCCCCAAACTGCTGGAATGATCTGAGTGTAGAGCCAGGAGTAAGCCCTGAGCACCAGTAGGTGTTGCCAAAACAAAACAAACAAACAAAAAATAACCCCAAAAGACAAATTCAGATTTGTAATATTTAGGTGACAATCTAAGATAAAAGGTAAAGGCCCTCCCGTTGATCATCGATTTGCTCGAGCGGGCCCAGTAACGTCTCCATTGGAGACTTTGTTGTTACTGTGTCTGGCATATCGAATACTCTCGGTAGCTTGCCGGGCTCTCCGAGAGGGGCGGAGGAATCGAACTCGGGTCGGCCATGTTGGCCGCTTGTAAGGTGAACGCCCTACCACTGTGCTATAAGAAGATAGTATTATAGGAAATTAACACTTTTCTTCATGCAAATTATTTGGAGTATGGAATCTGTTTTGTTTTGGACTTCATAGACCAATGCGTATATGTGGTACACTGCTCAGACACGTTTATACCCCGATGTAAAGTTGACTTCATAGTAGGAATAATTAGTCACTTTTGTTAAAGCCTATGGAGCTTAATGGGGCTTGGGAGACACTCAGAGGTCTGGAGCACGTGCTTTGTGTATGAAAGCCCTGGGCTCAATCCCCACCTGGCATGTGCGATTTTCTCAACTCTGCCAGGAGAGGCTTCAGAGCCCCTCCTGCCATCAGCGCTGCTGGCTACCCCCACCCCCCAACATGAAGAGGATTCAAAAATGATGATTGTAAGTCAGTATTTACTTGCATTATTGACATGCACAGCAGTGCCCAGGGATTACTCCTGACTCTGTGCCCAGGGATCAGTCCTGGTTGGGCTCAGGGAACTGTTTGTGGTTCTGGGGATTCGAACCTGGGTCAGCTGCATGCAAAGCAACTACCTTCTCTGTTGTACTGTCTCTCTGGCCCCCACATAATTATTAACTGTCTATATTGTGTATATGTACATGTGTATACATATATATGTATATGTGTATATGGCTCTATACTATGAAGGCTTTTTTTTTTTTTTTGAGTCACACTCAGGGATGCAGAGGGGTTACTCCTGGCTCGGCACTCAGGAATTACTCCTGACGGTGCTCGGGGGACCATATGGGATGCTGGGAATCAAACCCGAGTTACCTGCATACAAGGCAAACACCCTACCCTCTGTGCTATTGCTCCAGCCCTGTACTGCAGGCTTTCTTAGCCCCTTTCCAGCCACGGGCCCCTTCTGACCTTGTTTTGCTGGTGTGGTTCTCTTGTCTCCTTCCATGGCGCCTCATTTACGAGAAATTTTAATCTATGCCTCCTTTGGAATATCCTGGGGCCCCACAGGAGGCCATTTGTTTGTTTGTTTTCTGGTTTTTGTAAAACTTTAGTTTTTATTACTAAGAAAAATCATAAAAAGATTTGTGTACTGTAAAAACTTGATCCAGTTCTTATCCTTTTAAAGACATGGTTATTAAGCCACCAGAGGGAGCTCTGTGAATGTTTCAGTATTTCACTTCTGGTTTTAAAAAACAAAGCACCATGTATTTTTCTTAGCATGCATGTTTATGTAATCATATTTTCCTCTTCTGTGTTGAAAATAGTGTGCTGAAAATACCTAGGTAATCTAGAGCAACAGTTTTATATTTTTATTTCACAACTCCTTGGGTTTTACAAACATCAAAAGAGAAATATAATTTCTGCCATTGTGTGACTTTCCTAAGAGTGTATGGGTTCTTTCTTGTTTGGGGAAGGGTGTGTTCAGTGACTACCTCTTCCTCCTGACTCAGTGCTTAGGGGTAGTTCTGGTGGTTGAGGGAACTTTGTGGTGCCAGGGCTTGAACCCGGCTCAGAATGCAAACCTTTTTTCTTTTTTTGGCTTTTTTGGGTCACACCCGGCGATGCTTAGCTGTTATTCCTGACTGTGCCCTCAGAAATTACTCCTGGCAGTGCTCGGTGGCCCATTATGGAATGCTGGCGATGGAACCCGGCTCAGCTGCAAACACCCTCCCCATTGTACTATTGTTCTGGCCACACATGCAAGCCTTTTTGATCCTTCCAGTCCCTGTAGGGTAACCTAATTAAGCATTCTTGTTCTATATAATCATGTAATCTATTTCAAAGCTGGTCATAATGGTCATATACACTGAGGAATACGGTATCATTTGCCACACTTGGTAGTGTTTGCTCAGGGCTTATCGTTCTATACTTAGGGATCACTCTTGGCAGACTCAAAAGATTATATGGGGTACTAGGGATGGGTCAGCCGTGTGCAAAGCTAACGCCCTACTGTCCTGATGCTCTGGCCCCCTTCAATTAATATATGTTTTTTAATTTATTTTTTATTTTTTATTTATTGAATCAATGTGGGAAAGGTTACAAAGCTTTCAGGTTTAGGTCTCAGTCATGCAAATATCAAACACATTTCCCTTTACCAATACTTATTTTTTACCATGAAGAACCCCAATAAAACCCCACCCCCCACCCCTCCCAGTCCCTGTGAGGCAGATGAATTCTAATTAACACTCTATCTGCTTTGATTAGATTCATTGTTTCAATAAAAGATTCACCACTATTATTTAGAGTTTACCCGCTCCCCCCCCAAATCAGACATGCTGAAAAAGCATTGTGAAGTGATTTGCTTTCTACAGCTGGGTTCCAGAATTAAATGTTGGTTTTGGATTTCTGCTATTTAACCTATTGACCCTGGAAGTATTTCTACTGAAAGTCAGATAGTTAAGAAATTGGTTTCTGTGCTCTGGAGTCGTGGCCGTGCTGGAGAGCCGCTAGTGGGGGGCAACTGGTGGCCTCGGTAGGGCGTGAAGGGTGGACCGAAACGCCCCCCTTCCCATGAGGTTTTAGTCGCCCCCACATCCCCGGCTCATACATGCTGTCCACAAGGCTCCCATGCAGCCGCCATCTTTCTTTCCAGAGAGGAGAGGGCGAATGGGGCAACACCCTTTCCCCTCCGGACAGACATGATGGCCTGGATTAACGCATAGTCCTTTCACTTTTCTGCTCCAAGCTTCTGGGTTCTGCATTAAGTCCTTGTGCGTCTGGGGCCGTGGCTGTGCTCGAGAGCCGCTCGCGGGGGGCAACTGGTGACCTCGGTAGGGCGTGAAGGACGGACCGGAACGCCCCCCTTCCCATGGGGTTTTAGTCGCCCCCACACTCCAGGCTCATACCTGCTGTCCACAAGGCTCCCATGCAGCCGCCATCTTTCTTTCCAGAGAGGAGAGGGCGAATGGGGCAACACCCTTTCCCCTCCGGACAGACATGATGGCCTGGATTAACGCATAGTCCTTTCACTTTTCTGCTCCAAGCTTCCGGGTTCTGCATTAAGTCCTTGTGCTTCTGGGGCCGTGGCTGTGCTCGAGAGCCGCTCGCGGGGGGCAACTGGTGACCTCGGTAGGGCGTGAAGGACGGACCGGAACGCCCCCCTTCCCATGAGGTTTTAGTCGCCCCCACACTCCAGGCTCATACCTGCTGTCCACAAGGCTCCCATGTGGCCGCCATCTTTCTTTCCAGAGAGGAGAGGGCGAATGGGGCAACACCCTTTCCCCTCAGGGCAGACATGATGGCCTGGATTAACGCATAGTCCTTTAACTTTTCTGCTCCAAGCTGCTAGGTTCTGCATTAAGTCCTTGTGCTTCTGGGGCTGTGGCCGTGCTCCAAACTTAACTCTGATTTTCAGGGAGAAACGTTGGGTGGTTTACTTCCCGTTGATCACTTTGTATATAGAGAGATGTCCTAGTTCCTGCATACTCGAGCTGTGCTTGTAGAGGCTTCTGGTCACCGGGGTTCCATCTGGGGGAGGCGGGATGCAGTACCTACCCCATCTGGGACTTCCCGATGATCTCGGCTCTTTTTGGAACCTGTTTTTTTTTTTCCCTCCGGGAGCTGTGGATCCCGCCCTCCATGTAGTCCTTCTCTTCGGCTGAATGCTGTAAAGATGGCGCTGGGGGGCGGGCTGTGGGCGTGACTTCCGGAATCTGAGGTTACCTGGGAGTTGCAGTCCCGGCAGATTTGAGGAAAAGTCCTAGTTCCCGCATACTCGAGCTGTGCTTGTAGAGGCTTCTGGTCACCGGGGTTCCATCTGGGGGAGGCGGGATGCAGTACCTACCCCATCTGGGACTTCCCGATGATCTCGGCTCTTTTTGGAACCTGTTTTTTTTTTTTTTCCCTCCGGGAGCTGTGGATCCCGCCCTCCATGTAGTCCTTCTCTTCGGCTGAATGCTGTAAAGATGGCGCTGGGGGGCGGGCTGTGGGCGTGACTTCCGGAATCTGAGGTTACCTGGGAGTTGCAGTCCCGGCAGATTTGAGGAAAAGTCCTAGTTCCCGCATACTCGAGCTGTGCTTGTAGAGGCTTCTGGTCACCGGGGTTCCATCTGGGGGAGGCGGGATGCGGTACCTACCCCATCTGGGACTTCCGATGATCTCGGCTCTTTTTGGAACCTGTTTTTTTTTTCCCTCCGGGAGCTGTGGATCCTGCCCTCCATGTGGCCCTTCTCTTCGGCTGTATGCTGTAAAGATGGCCTCAATTAATATATTAAGGTTGTTTGATTTTGAGTTCAAAATTTCAGACTTGTGCAAGATGTGTTACATGACTAAACTCATGAAACGCCAAAAATCTAGACTCTAGGGCTTCGTGTCCAGAAGTTAAGATGTAGCAAGTCTTGGGTATTATCTATTTATATAACTTTATTGAGGGGCTAGGAAGATAGCTTAAGTGGCCCCAAATTCAGTCCCTGGTGTCACATTGGCCTAAAGCATGCTGGCCAAGCATTTGTGGAAATAGCCTGTATTTTTAAAAAGGTGTGATTCACATTGAATTCATATACAATTCATTCATTCAAAATTTGAAATTAAATGATATTTCTTGTATTCATAGAGTTATGTCATCATCATTTTAGTCAGCTCTAGTGATTTTTTTCTATTATTACCCCAGATATCAATTTCTACTAGCAATCAGTTCCCCTTCTTCCCCTACACTGTTATTTAGTCACAAATAAAAGTAGTGATTATTATTAAATCACTGTGAGATACATAGTTCTAAAGTTGTTCACAATAGGGTTTCAGTCATACAATGTTTTAACACCCATCCCTTCACCAGGGTACATATAAGTATACATTTTACCTTTTACCTTATCTGTGTATAATTTTTCTTGCACATAAGGGAATCATATAATTTTACATAAATGAAATAGTATAATACAGTCCTTTATATAGTGAATATGTAGTATTCTTCTGTTTTTATTTTTTATTGAATCACCAGTGACTTACAAAGTTACTTATGATTAGGTTTCAGTGATTCAGTTACTCATGATTGAGTTACAATGTTCCAACACCAGTATCTTCACGCTCCACCAATATTCCCAGTTTCCTTTCTGCCCTCCAACCTGCCTCTCATTACTGCTGAATTTTGTTTGTTTTCTGGTTCTGGTATATAATAAACATGTATAGTAGTACTCCTTGCTTTGATTTTTTTCTTGATGCTAGAGTTCAAATCCAGGTCCTTACACATGCAAGCAAGCCCTTTTCTGCTAAGATATATCCCCAATCCTGAACATAATGCCATATAACTAATAATTAACTTTTTTGGCTTTTGACCATACCCGGCAGTGTTCCAGGCTTCCTCCTGGTTCTGTGTTCTGTATGACTAATATTTGAAAGAAAGATTTCTCTTCAGTGTAGAACTTTTTAATGTTAGAAAACTTAAAATTAACATCTGTAGCTGATATTTTTTTCTCTTTGGTGAAGTAAGAAAGTTTTTATTGCAACGTATTTGGAAAGGTGTGAGGGGAGAGAAAGGGAGAAGTGTGTGTTCCAAAGCGCGCGCGGGCTTTCCCAGAGATGTAGAGACGAACAAGTGAGATACGCATTCAGGGGACAACAGGGGCTTTAAATGCAAGCTTGCATTTGGATCTAAGAACAGAACTTTTAAATTGAGGATTGGCTACAAACACTTTTTGTACCAGCATCAGCTTTTGTTTCCCTTTCATAAAGAGCACATGAAATATTGCATGATTCTTTATTTTTTGGGGAAAATACATTTAGAAAGAGAGTTTGCAGTATTGACCTTATGTTTCTTTTATTTTCATTTCCCAAAACTTTTAATTTTTTTAGATGGGTGCCTCAAACTCTTACCTAATTTGTAGTTTTACTTTTTTGTCCAGGGCCCTCAGGCTGCACTGAAGAAAATGAATCCTGGAGAAGAAAGGAGGAAAATGTTTGAGGTATAAAGACACCTGTCTGCTTATTTATAAGACTTTACAAAGTAACTTAAAAAAAGAAGTAAAACTTAAAAAAAAAAAACCTCCAAACAATTCCTCCTTGTTTCTTTCAATTACTGCTAACATATGTATGTATACATATGTATCACATATGTATCATGTATGTATACATATATATTTTTAACATCCCTCAGCATCTCCCCCTCCTTGGTGTACTAGCTTTCCTGATGAAACCGGAAAGGAGAAATTATTATTGATAAAAAGTATTCTTTTTTATTCAAGGAACCACCAAGAAAGAAAAAGTTGGAATTAATTGAAAAGGAGAAGAAGTCGAAGGACCAGGTAGTGTTCTTGCTTGGCTCTTCTGTTCACGTGCCCCTCCCTTGGTTTCTGATGTGCGATGACTTTGCATTGTGTCCACCTCTAGCTGGAGTCTTCCCTTGGCGGGAAGGGGGTCACCCGCCAGGTCATGGTAGTCTCCAAGGGTCTCAGTCTTTTTGCTGCAGTATTTGTACAGTGCTCACTCTGGGGTGCTCTTTAACTGACACATGTCTGTCCTGGTTTCATGCTCGCTAGGGCTTGCATGCAACCATGGTGTCTGATTAATGGCATTTGTTAACTTGCTAGGGTCAAACATCCCAGGGATTTGCCACACACATGGCTATAGTTCAGCTGGAAATTGCTTGTGCGGCCACTGAGCTGCCGTGGTTGCACTCTGTGCATGTGGCGATACTGGGGACGGAACTTGTGTCCTAAGGCCCCTGTTGGTTCCCCAGGGCCCCAGCTCTTTGCTCTTAGTTTTGTTTCTTTGCCAAGTTGTAGGTAATTACAGTTTCAAGACTCCTAATATGTTTGCCTTTAAAACTGTTACAGATTAGTTTCTTGAGGGCTGAACAGATGAAAAGGCAAGACAAGGAGAGGGTAAGAAGATCATGTCTTTTTCTGCAGTACATTCTGCCTGTTGCCAGTACCTGTGCTTTCATAATGGAGTTTTATTACTAAAATATTTCTTGTATTTTATTTTATACTTGAAATGGTATTTTGCTTGTTTCTTTTCCCCAAAGTTGGAGAGAATAAATAGGGCCAGAGAACAAGGATGGAGAAATGTGCTATGTGCTGGTGGAAGTAGTGAAGTAAAGGTAGGTATTGGATACGATGGTAAATATGTTATTTACCTTACCACAGCATAATTGTTTCTCCAGGTTTATCTTGATCTTTGAAGTCCAACTTTTGTTTGCATTTAATTTTCACCTAGAATTTTTGTTTGCATTTATTTTGGTTTAGCTTTCCTGCCTGTGTTTGATATGTAAGTTATGCAAGTTATATTAATAATGAATATGAGACTCGTCAAATTGATCTTAAAGTTTGATGTAACTATTATTTTTGGGGGGGTTGGATTTTTTTTTTGTATGCTTTTGGGTTTTGGGCCATACCCAGTGGTACTCAGGACTTTCTCCTGGCTCTATGCAAAGGGATCACTCATGGTAGGCTCAGGAAATCATACGGATGCTGGATCAAACCCAGGTTGACCACATACAAGGCAAGTACCCCACCTGCTGTCTTATTGCTCTGTCCCCCAAAATATTTTTTATTTTAATTTGATTTAATTTAAATTTTTGTTGTTGTTGTTGGTCCACACTTACAAGATACTCTGGGGTTACTCCTGGCTCTGCACACAGGAATTACTCCTGTCAGTGCTTGGGGGACCATATGGGTTGCCGGGATTAAACCCATTGCCTCCTGCAGAGCAAATACCCTAGCTGCTGTACTACTTCTTCTTGCCCAAGAAAATTTTTTTGTAAATCAAATGCAATTTGCATTTCTTTGCATTAAAATCTTCCTGTAGTTTCAAGTAATCCTCATAATGAAGTTCCCCAACGAACCTCTCCACACTCATCTCCATCCATTCCGTGCTAGAGTTTGTATGTTTTAATCACGCTGCACTGAAGACTGTATCTGTAGATTCTTTACCCTGTGTAACTTCTTTGCTTTGAGCTTTTGTTTCCTCCCTCTCCATTCCATCTCCAGCCACTTACCTCAGTAACTACTTAGAGAACCATGTACTTAAATATGTTAATTCAGACATTTCTTTGGGTAGATGCACACTTTCAATCTTTTTTTTTTTTTTGAAGTAAATAGATTTTATTTGGAGGATTTTTAGGTATGGAGGGAGGGAGAGAGTGAGAGAGTAAAGTTAGACACGAAAGCATGAAAGTACACATCTCAAGAGGGGAGATGCGGGCGACATATGTGCTCGGGAACCACATGTGCTCGGCCACGTGGGCACAAGCAGCACATGGGCTCGGGCAGCAAATGCGCGCGCTTCCTTTGTTCAAGGTGGCCTTTATAGGGTTTCTCCAACCTGCCCCCACGTGGGGCTTCTTCCCAGGTAAATGTCCCGTTGCTAAGGAGGTTACCAGGGAGGATGGGAGTGGTGATGGTCTTCTTTGAAATTCCTTTCCTGGCCTTTTGTTCCTAGAGGAGCTTCTTTGGGTCTGTTGCTGGAGCCAGGTGAGGGTCTTATCAAGCCTTCACACTTTCAATCTTGATAAGTTATTTAACTTTTCCTAATTTTTAGTTCTCTATTTAAAACAGTAACAATAACAGGTCTCATTCCCCTGACCCTGAAAGAGCCTCCAATATGGCAGCATTGGGAAAGACGTGTAAGGAGAGGCTGTTAGAATCTCAGGGCTGGGAGGAATGGAGATGTTACTGGCGCCTGCTCAAGTAAATCGATGAACAATGGGATGACAGGGATATAGTGAATTAAAATAAAAAGGACCTGGAGGTTGGCCAACAAGGACTCATTTGTTAACTTCCTTTTTCTTTTTTCCTTCTGCTATTCTGGATCTTTCCTGTCTGCTTCAGTTCCTGTAGCATCCTTTAGGTATCTATGTAGGCTGAATTCTAAGGTGGTTCCCCCAAATCCTGATCTCTCTTGTGTGCCCTGTATTCCTCTTACTGATTGATGGAAACTGGAAATATTATGCCACCTCTTTCCAGTGGTTTGAGTAGATTAGATGGTATTGGTGGTGGATTGGTCACTCCTGTGGTTTCATTAAGATTTTCTAAGTCTCGGGCTGGAGCAATAGCATAATGAATGGGTAGGGCGTTTGCCTTGCACGCAGCCAATCTGGGTTCAATTCCCAGCATCCCATATGGTCCTCTGAGCACCTCCAGGGGTAATTCCTGAGTGCAGAGCCAGGAGTAACCCCTGTGCATCGTTGGGTGTGACCTGAAAAGAAAAAAAAAAGATTTTCTAAGTCTCCCTCACAGCATACTGGGAAGTGAAAAAGTCACACCTGTTTACACTGACTGGGGAAAAGCATGTATTTATGTGGTAGGTGACCTGTAGGGGCTAATAGTGGTTTTCACCAACAACTCTCAAGAAAGGTGACTTAGCCATATAACAACAAAGAAATGGATTTGGCCAAGTGCCAGTGAGCTTGGATGAAGATCAGTCTCGAGCTTCAGATGAGAGTTGCGACCCTGATGTTACCTTGGTTTTTTGCATGGTGAAATCCTAAGTAGATGGAGGGGTTTTTACCTTGCCCAGAATCTCCTGTCAGGAAAAACTGAAATAGTGTGTATAATTTTTAGCTGCTAAGAGTGTAAATACTTCTTTTCTTTTCTTTTTTTTTTTTAATTGAATCACCATGGAGATATACTGTACTGTAACTGTCCTCCCTTTGTATATGGATTTGCTCAAGGGCAACAGTAACATCTCAGAACATACAGTTACAAAGTTGTTAATGACTGACTTTCTGTCATACAATGTTCCAACACTTACTACTTCACCAGTATGCATTCCCTACCACCATTGTCTCCAATTTACCCCCACCTTTGCCCTCCCCCTTTCCCATCCCCACAGCCTGCTTCTGTAGAGACTCTTCCTCTGTCTCTGTCTGTCTGTCTGTCTGTCTCTCTCTCTCTCTCTGTCATTTTCCTTCTAGGCACTGTAGTTTTTAATACTGTTACTGAAAAGGTGTCATGGATATCACTTTTCCTCCTTTCATCACTTAGTATATGTCCAGAGCGATCATTTCCAACTACCTTTGTCACCATGGTCCCTTGTCTGTCCTAACTGCCCTCTCCCTCCCTTTGTGGCAAGTTTCCTGCTAGGGACCAGTCCTCCTGTCCCTTTTTTTCTACTGTCTTTGCTTATTAGTCACATACTATGTTTTTGTTTATAAATGCCCTGCAAATGAGTGCAGTAATTCCGTGTCTGCCCCTCTCCCTCTGACCCTTTCATTCAGCATGATGCTCCAAGTCTATCCATGTATGAGCAAATTTCATGACTTCATTTTTCATCACAACTGTGTTGTGTTACGTGAACCTCTCATTCCTTCTCTGACACTAGAGTTGTACTATTGCTCTGCCCCCCACATTTCTTGTTTTTCCTTCCAAACCTGATTTTTTTCACCTATCCTTTTCCCTTCCCCCCAGGGATTTTTCCTTCTGATAATTTTTCCTATTTTGTGAATTCATTTAGTATACTATTTTACACTATGGGCTGGAGTGATAGCACAGTAGGTAGGGCATTTGCCTTGCATGCGGCCGACCCAGGTTTGATTCCTCTGTCCCTCACAGAGAGCCCGGCAAGCTACTGAGACTATCCCACCCGCACGGCAGAGCCTGGCAAGCTCCCCGTGGCATATTCAATATGCCAAAGACAGTAATAACAAGCCTCACAATGGAGATGTTACTGGTGCCCGCTTGAGCATGAATGGAATCGATGAATGGAAGGACATTGCTCCAGTGCATTTTACGCTATGCCTTTTATCATTCTTTTATCATAGACATGAAATATTTTTTTGGCTTTGTGTTTTGTTTTCCAACTTACTTGGTAGCTACTTAAGGAGAAATACTGTGTTTTGTTTCTTTTACCTTTATACACATGGGTTGTTAAAATAATACTTTTATTGTTACTTAAATTGGGGAATTTGGAAGGTCTGTTAAATGCCAAGATTCAAAAATTGTACTTAAATATAATTTTGAGGGGCTGGAGCAATAGCACAGTGGGTAGGGTGCTTGCCTTGCATGTGACCGACCTGGGTTCGATCCCCAGCATCCCATATGATCCCCCGAGCACTGCCAGGGGTAATTCCTGAGTGCAGAGCCAGGAGTAACCCCAGTGCACCGCCAGATGTGACCCAAAAAGCAAAAATATATATATATAATTTTAAGTATTATAAATCAGTTTTAGTTTTTCTTATTTAAACGAGCTTATTTAAACTTAGTAAGTGGAATACATGTAATCCTTACTAGAGACTTATTTTATTACCTGAGACGTTTTCATATTTACTTGAATTAGGTGAATCTTGTATTTTGTTATATTAGCATGCTTGTAAGTAAAGTGATAATTTTTTGATTGATAATGATTGTAATAAGGTAAAGGTAAAGGTAAAGGCCCTCCCATTGATCGTCGATTTGCTCGAGCGGGCCCAGTAACGTCTCCATTGGAGACTTTGTTGTTACTGTGTCTGGCATATCGAATACTCTCGGTAGCTTGCCAGGCTCTCCAAGAGGGGCGGAGGAATTGAACTTGTTGGCCGCTTGTAAGGCGAACGCCCTACCCGCTGTGCTATTGCTCCAGCCGATTGTAATATGGTAAGAAAAATTATGTTTTAGGCAACTTATTATTAATGTGTTCAAATTTGGTGATACTTTTTAGAAGCCTAGTGTTGAAATGTATTTTTTTCCTTTGAGGATATATAGGCCTCTGGGCCCTCGAAGAGAAACATGTGAGAACTATTTGTTTGATTTCTAGGCTTCCTTTTTTGGTGTTGGAGGGGTTGCGGCTCCATCTTGTTCTTCTCGAGGAAAATACGAGCATTATCATGCTATTTTTGATCAAATGGAGCAACGAGTGGCAGATAGTGAAGCCAAATGGAAAGAAATTTGTGACCAAAGACTTTCAGAAAGGTATGGCTGTGTTCTGCAGATGTTGGTTGTGCTTTGCTTCAGAGAAAGTAATGAAAGTCATTGTGCGTGTTTATCTACAGAGGAATTCCACCTGGAGTACATCCAGGATTTCCTAATGGGGCTGCGGGTCATCACCATATCCCCGAGACTGATGCTATTAGAAAAACTTTGAAAAGATTGAAGGCCGTGCCTAAACAAGCCAGTGCAAACAGGTTGGACTGTGGTGATCCATAAACTCATCCCTGTGTGTAGTTTTGTCTTATGTCATGTGTAGTTTAGTACCTACACTTTGTGGATGTTTCCTTCACTGACCACATAAAATACTTTTTGCCTTCTGGTGCAATCATTTTTTTTCTGGAGCTATTTGGCCCAGGGTTTCATGTACTGAGCATGTACTTCTTTAGCTTCTTTTTCGTACCGTGTTTATATGTTATAGGCTGAGTGTAATTTAAAGGAACATGTGATAACTTATAGTCAAGTATGGTTTGTGTTGTCGTCCACTTGCTTTAATTAAATCACAGTATATTTAAATTAAGTCACTATATACAAAACTCCAAAGGATGTTTTTTTGTCTTCTTTTTCTTGTCACTTAAAAGCCTGTTTTTTCTTTGTTGTTTTGTCTTTTTTTCTCATATGAATTTGTGACTCTGTGATACTTTTAATCTGATTTTTCCTTTTCTTCCATTTAATTTAATTTAATATGGTGACGCTCAATGTTTGTAATTTACATATTTCTTTTATATATATATGCTTTCTTAGATAACATCATTTTTAGTAAAATATTCAGGTTGTGAATAGCAGAGAACATTTTTGTGAAAATTTAGTAACATTGCCTTTTCCTTGTTATTTCACTAGAATACTCCCAAGTATTGAAAATTTTTTATGAAGCCAGAGAAATAGCACAGAGTTAAACTTGCTGTGTGTGCCGCTGACCAGGGTCCTGTCCCCAGCACCATATATGGTTCCGTGAGCACCACCAAGACTGATTCATAAGCACAGAGCCAGGACTAAGCTCTGAGGATCACCAGTGTGGTCCAGAATTAAAAATCAATCAATCAATTAATCTTTTTCCAGTTATAAAAAGTGATGAAAATATAGTTGAATTGGTTCAAATATAGTTTAACAGAGATAAATGAGGTACATTTGAATTAATAATATGAATTATATACCATAGCCTGAAGTGTGAAGCTAATTGTCCCTTCTTGTCATATTTGAAAAGGATGGTTGCAAACTTAAAGCCCATTTTAATGAAATGGCAAAGCAAGGTTTGTGTAACTTTCATCTTTTGGTGTTATTGACCTTTCTGGTAGATATTTTACTTAGTTTTTTTTGGTATTTTAATGAAATCTAATAAATTTACATAGTGTAAAAAAATAGAAAAAACTTGTCATGTTTCTTTATACAGCATCTTTCAGAATGCTTCTTAGTTCTTCACAGGTGAAATTATATATATACACATTGGATCATTAGGATCTAACTCCTGTTATATCACTGAAATGTTTGCATTTATTTATACTTGATTTTGATTGTCTTACATGGCTATGTATCTTAGTTATCTCCTCCATGAGACATACCTTCCAGTCCATTCCATCTTTATTTGAGCATCAGCTATAGCATCATTATTGTAATTTTCAGTTTTTGGTTTTGGGGTTGGTTTTGTTTGTTTGTTTTGGTGGGGGGGCAAGACCAGTGATGCTCAGGGGTTACTCCTGGCTCTGCACCCAGAAATCACTCCTGGTACTGCTTGGGGCACCGCATGGAATGCCAGAGAATGAACCCGTGTCGGCCATGTATAAGGCAATTGCCCTGCCTGCTGTACTATCTCACTGGTCCCCTGTAATTTTCAGTTTTAATAAACATTTGTGATTGTTAAATAAGATCATTTATCATTTCAGTTGTATCAACATTGATGGTCTTAATATGATCCAATCATACAATACTCATTTTCTTATTATGCATTGAAGTTGCTGTTCTTATTGGTTATGGATTTTTGTTTTGTTTTTGTTTTGTTTTAGTGTCACATCCAGTGGTGTTTAGGGCTTACTCCTGACTCTGTGCTCAGGCATCACTCCTGGTAGGCTCTAGAGACCATATGGGATGCCAGGGATCGAATCCGGGTTGGCTTTATTTAAAGCAAATGACCTACCTATTGAACTATTGATCTAGCCCCCTGATCATTGGGCACATTATATAGAACAATAGAATAAACAAATTATGTTTATTCATCCCAGACACTCTTTATTAGATATTATTTTTAAAATACACATGAGAAAATTAGGACATACAGGGTGCATAGTCAGGCAGCAAGAAAGAGATAGAACTGGGATTTAAACTCCATCAGTTGGACTATAGAATTCATCTCCTGTAAGCATTCATCTCCCAGCTTCTTAAGAAACAATTGAATAAGAGACTGAAAAGTTTTTGATTTTGTGACTGAAAAAAAATTGGGTACTTTAAAATTTAAATATAACCAAATACTGAATGTCTTTTCATACGTAGTCACTGGATTTATTTTGATTTTACTCAAGAACTTGAAAAAAAAAAGAGATATATTGGGAGAAAGTTGTGAAAGAACCCCATGCTTTAATTTTTTTCTCCCTAACTTGTTCATGGGGTTTTTGTGTGTATGAAGCAAGATAGCTTTTATTGAATGAAACTTAGAAAGGTGTGAGGGGGGGCCAAGGAGAGGAACATAGGTTCAAGAGAACAGTGAAGGGCTTGAAGAGCAAGCAAAGAGTGTTTGAAGCCATCCAGCAAAGCAACAGAGGCAAGCAAACTAGATTCATGTTCAAGAGTGAATGTGGCCTTGAGTGGGCAAGCCTGAGATGCAGCTTTCCAGGAAATCAGATACCAGCTTTTGCTGTATTTTTGAAAACACACAAATGTTTCATATTTTTTGTTAACTTTTGGAATAGTTATTAGCCTATTTTCATTTATTTCATTACTAAGGGCTGGAGCGATAGCACAGCGGGTAGGGCGTTCACCTTATAAGCGGCCAACATGGCCGACCCGAGTTCGATTCCTCCGCCCCTCTCGGAGAGCCCGGCAAGCTACCGAGAGTATTCGATATGCCAGACACAGTAACAACAAAGTCTCCAATGGAGACGTTACTGGGCCCGCTCGAGCAAATCGACGATCAACGGGAGGGCCTTTACCTTTACCTTACCTTACTAAGGAACCTCCGTAAATCTATCTGGCACAGATTACTGAATGAGTTTAGCTTCTTAGAAAAGATATTCTTTTCTAAGTATGAAGCAGTTTTATGTGTTTGTAACTAGAATAGAGTAAATGTAAGAGAAACCATGCTAAGCTTTGGAGTAGTGAGATAAATTTTGCTTCTATTTAAAATAATAAAAATTGTACTTCAGGTAGGAGATAACTAGTATATAAAGTTTAGGTATTTCTTCAATAAGAAGATCATAATATGAAAGCACTACAAGAAGGCTTTCTGTCAACGTTTCTTCATATTCTCTATCAAACTTTTTAGAGTAAGTAGTTTGTAACTTTTGAGAATACTTAATGTTCAGAAATCCCGATTTTGCTCTGAATCACACAGGCAGAGGGGACAGATAGATGTGGAAAGAGATCAGCAAGTGAAAGAGTTTCTCCAGCGAAAACATGAAGCAAGGCAGAATAAAGCTCGAGCTGAAGGTCATAAGGTATGATTTTTTTTCTTTTTTTTTAACATTTGTATTCAAAGTGAAGATTTGGAATAAGGTGGGTATGAATAAAAGATATAATATTTTGCAAACAGTTAAAGAGTGCGAAATTATTTATATCTGATATATGACTGCTGAAACTCATTTAACCTCTCTTCTCTTTGTACCAATAACCTCTCTTTTCTTTGTACTGTCACTGTCACTGTCCTCCCATTGTTCATCGATTTGCTCGAGCTGGCCCACCAACATCTCCATTGTGACACTTGTTACTGTGTTTGGCGTATCGAATATGTCACTGGTAGCTTGCCAGGCTTTGCCTTGCGGGCGAGATACTCTCGGTAGCTTGCTGGGCTCTCCAAGAGGGGCGGAGGAATTGAACCGGGGCCAGCCGGGTCAGCCGTGTGCAAAGCAAATGTCAAAATTTGACACTTAGTATGCTTTGGTAAATTTGGAGTAAGTTCACAGTTGAATTCTTCCTCTAAAAGAAACAAAAGTAGGTGTAGTAACCCAGATGTTTTTGTTAAATAAATTAGTTCTTACATTGTTCTTCCCACCCCCCATGCTTTTGGGTTACATAGCGAAGAATTTTGAGTTTCTGTTTTATTTTTTATCCCTTTTTTTTTATCCTTTTTTGGGTCATGCCCAGCAATGCACAGGGGTTACTCCTGGCTCTGCACTCAGGAATTGCTCCTGGTAGTGCTCCAGGGACCATATGGGATGTATAGGATTGAACCCAGGCAGACTGCATGCAAGGTAAATGCCCTACCCGCTGTTCTATTACTCCGGCCCCAGAAAGAATTTTCAAAGACAAATGAGAGACAAACATTTGGATAAGAATATATGCATAACACACATTTTCTGTGAAGAAAATTCAAAGCATAAGTATGTTAAAATCTTCAGTTGTGCCAATTAACAATTAACTAAAGTCAACAATCATTTCAGTACTTAAAACTTCTTTTCATTTTGATTTGTGGAATCACAACAAATGCCTTTTGACTTTTGATCCATAGAACAACTAGTATCTTCTGATAATTTGTTTGAAGCAAAATGGTCTATGACTTATTTAGAAATGTCATTACTTCACTCTTACACTTGAATGATAATTTTCCTTTTCTTTTTTTTTTCTTTTTTCTTTATTTATTTATTGAATCACCGTGGGAAAGGTTACAAAGCTTTCAGGTTTAGGTCTCAGTCATGCAAATATCAAACACATTTCCCTTTACCAATACTTATTTTTTACCATGAAGAACCCCAATAAAACCCCACCCCCCACCCCTCCCAGTCCCTGTGGGGCAGATGAATTCTAGTTAACACTCTATCTGCTTTGATTAGATTCATTGTTTCAATAAAAGATTCACCACTATTATTTAGAGTTTACCGCCCCCCCCAAATCAGACATGCTGAAAAAGCATTGTGAAGTGATTTGCTTTCTACAGCTGGGTTCAAGAATTAAATGTTGGTTTTGGATTTCTGCTGTTTTACTTATTGACCCTGGAAGTATTTCTACTGAAAGTCAGATAGTTAAGAAATTGGTTTCTGTGCTCTGGAGTTGTGGCCGTGCAGGAGAGCCGCTAGTGGGGGGCAACTGGTGGCCTCGGTAGGGCGTGAAGGGCGGACCGAAACGCCCCCCTTCCCATGAGGTTTTAGTCGCCCCCACTCCCCCGGCTCATACCTGCTGTCCACAAGGCTCCCATACAGCCGACATCTTTCTTTCCAGAGAGGAGAAGGCGACTGGGGCAACACCCTTTCCCCTCCGGACAAGACATGATGGCCTGGATTAACGCATAGTCCTTTCACTTTTCTGCTCCAAGCTGCCGGGTTCTGCATTAAGTCCCTGTGCTTCTGGGGCTGTGGCCGTGCTGGAGAGCCGCTTGCGGGGGGCAACTGGTGACCTCGGTAGGGCGTAAAGGACGGACCGGAACGCCCCCCTTCCCATGAGGTTTTAGTCGCCCCCACACCCCCGGCTCATACCTGCTGTCCACAAGGCTCCCATGTGGCCGCCACCTTTCTTTCCAGAGGGAGGAGGGCGGAAGGGACCAACACCCTTTCCCCTCCGGGCAGACATGATGGCCTGGATTAACGCATAGTCCTTTCACTTTTCTGCTCCAAGCTGCTGGGTTCTGCATTAAGTCCTTGTGCTTCTGGGGCTGTGGCCATGCTGGAGAGCCGCTCGTGGGGGGCAACTGGTGACCTCGGTAGGGCGTGAAGGACGGACTGGAACGCCCCCCTTCCCATGAGGTTTTAGTCACCCCCGCTCCCCCGGCTCATGCCTGCTGTCCACAAGGCTCCCATGTGGCCGCCATCTTTCTTTCCAGAGAGGAGAAGGCGATTGGGGCAACACCCTTTCCCCTCCAGCAGAATTGATGGCCTGGATTAACGCATAGTCCGTTCACTTTTCTGCTCCAAGCTGCTGGGTTCTGCATTAAATCCTTGTGTTTCTTGGGCTGTGGCTGTGCTGGAGAGCTGCTCGTGGGGGGCAACTGGTGGCCTCGGTAGGGCATAAAGGACGGACCGGAACGCCCCCCTTCCCATGAGGTTTTAGTCACCCCCACACCCCCGGCTCATACCTGCTGTCCACAAGGCTCCCATGTGGCCGCCATCTTTCTTTCCAGAGGGAGGAGGGCGGAAGGGACCAACACCCTTTCCCCTCTGGCAGACTTGATGGCCTGGATTAACGCATAGTCCGTTCACTTTTCTGCTCCAAGCTGCTGGGTTATGCATTAAGTCCTTGTGCTTCTGGGGCTGTGGCCGTGCTGGAGAGCCGCTCGTGGGGGACAACTGGTGACCTCGGTAGGGCGTGAAGGACGGACCGGAACGCCCCCCTTCCCATGAGGTTTTAGTGGCCCCCACACCCCCGGCTCATACCTGCTGTCCACAAGGCTCCCATGTGGCTGCCACCTTTCTTTCCAGAGGGAGGAGGGCGGAAGGGACCAACACCCTTTCCCCTCTGGCAGACTTGATGGCCTGGATTAACACATAGCCCGTTCACTTTTCTGCTCCAAGCTGCTGGGTTATGCATTAAGTCCTTGTGTTTCTGGGGCTGTGGCCGTGCTCCAAACTTAACTATGATTTTCAGAGAGAAACGTTAGGTGGTTTACTTCCCATGGATCACTTTGTATAGGCGGCCGCGCGATTTTGAGGAAAAGTCCTAGTTCCCGCATACTCTAGCTGTGCTTGTAGAGGTTTCTGGTCACCGGGGTTCCATCTGGGGGAGGCAGGATGCGGTACCTACCCCATCTCGGACTTCCCGATGATCTCGGCTCTTTTTGGAAACTGTTTATTATTATTTTTTTTTCCTTCGGGATCTGTGGATCCCGCCCTCCATGTAGTCCTTCTCTTCGGCTGAATGCTGTCAAGATGGCGCTGGGGGGCGGGCTGTGGGCGTGACTTCCGGAATCTGAGGTTACCTGGGAGTTGTAGTCCCGGCATTTTTGAGGAAAAGTCCTAGTTCCCGCATACTCGAGCTGTGCTTGGAGAGGTTTCTGGTCACCGGGGTTCCATCTGGGGGAGGCGGGATGCGGTACCTACCCCATCTCGTACTTCCCGATGATCTCGGCTCTTTTCGGAAACTGTTTATTTTTTTTTTTTCCTTTGGGATCTGTGGATCCCGCCCTCCATGTAGTCCTTCTCTTCGGCTGAATCATGATAATTTTTCACTGCTGGTGGTTCTTAAATAAATTGGCTTATTTAGCATTTATTATGTCTGATAAAAGTATTTTGTTTTTTTGAAAAATGATTTTTCTAAATATACTACTATAGGTTGAGGTTTTTTTTTTTTTTTAATTGAATCATCGTGAGAACAGTTACAAAGCTTTTAGGTTTAAATCTCGGTCATACAATGATCAGTCACCCATTCCTTCACCAGTGCATATTTTCCACCATCAAGAACCCCACTATACCCCCCCATTCCACCCCTCCTCATGCCTGTGAGGCAGATGATTTCCACTTAACTCTCTCTCTATTTTGATTATATTCATTATTTCGACAAAAGATGCACCATTATTATTTGGAATTTTACCCCAACAATCAGACCTGCTGAAAAGGCATCGTGAAATAATTTGTTTTTTATTGCTGGAAGATCATATGATCATATGATTGTGGCCGCACAATTTTGGATTTCTGATGTTTTACTAATTAAGTCTGGAGGGATTTTTGCCAAAAGTCGCATAATTCCGAGATTGGTTTGTGTGCCTCTGGTTCCATGGCCGTGCCAGAGAGCTGCTCGTGGGGGGCAACTCGTGGTCTCTGCGGGGCAGGAAGGGTGTGCCAGTTTCACCCCCCCCCCCATCCCATGAAGCCACAGTTGCCCCATCACCAACAGCTCATACCTGGCTGTCCAATAAGCTCTGAGGCGACAGCCACTGTGCTGCGGGGCGGTGGGGTGGGGGGGCAAGGTGGAAGAATCAGACACCCTTTCTGGCGGGGGTTATGGCGCCTACGTTGAGATTTTTTTCTTCTGGTGCTTATGTGATTTCAGTTTATTTTCAGCATCCTTGTTTCTGACCAAAAAAAGGTCTATTGTTGCTCCTGTTTTTTCCTTTACAGTATCATTGATAAATTATTAGAAATTGCAACTTTAATCAAATGACCTCAAGTATAAATTATTTTATCCTCATTGATCAGGGTTAATTTTTCTTATCAGCATTACAACAAAATGACTTAAGAAAAAAATAACCTTTTTCAGGCACTTATTTTATATGTAATATGTTTACTTTCTCCTTGTGGCTTCTACCATTTGCTTTTCATCATTTGCCTCTAGGAATGATGTGATTATGATGTGCTGTGGCATATAGTTTTTTTTCCATCTGTGTTTTATTGGGGTTCATTGAGATGTTTGGATCTGTGGGATTATAGTTGATAATGAAATGTGGAAAATTTTTAATCATTTCTTCAAAATGTTTTTTGGTTATCTATTCGATTTTTCTTTCTAGGATATCCATATATTTGACTGTGCTCTGCTCACAATAGCTGAATGATAGTAATTGATTTGGGAGTCTTTT